AACTATAAATGAATTAATTATCTTGTATTTCTGTCTTGGCTGTACTTTATATACTCTAACAGTTTTTGGTGTATATAAAGTATACACAATTATATACATTTTTTAAGCATTACAATAGTACTGCACATGAGAGCGGCTCCGGGCAGTGGTGGGTTGACTCATTGTCCAGATTCACAGACAGTCCTGCAGATTAATCAAAGGCTACACACAGCCTAACATAAGCAAATTATTTTTCATGAAAATAAGATAGTGAATTGTTCATTTTTCAGGTTTTCTTTATAGAAATCCCTGAAACTGTGAGAGCTTGACAAAATTTCCCTTTATTTAGAGCAGCTATTGGGAGCCTGTTTATGGTATGATTATGAGCTTTCTGACAGCCAGTGAAATGTTTCCTATTTAATAGAAAGAGAAGGCAATTTATCAATATGAAGAAGTTTCCTTTTTCTGATTCTATCAATTCTTTAAAAAAATGCCTCATCTGTGAGGATTCCCCAGGGTTGAGTTGACTGCTTTTATGAAAGCCTTTTTTATATAAAGTATATTCAATTCAATTGACCGAGATGAAAGGGCTGTAAAAACACTCTGACATTGATGAACATGATGCCATAAATTTCCAGTGTTTTCAGTCATAGGTTTAGTATCTGTTTTTATCCTGATGGATTTATCAGAACCCTCTTTACACCTATGGTCCAATGTATCATTCTGCCTATCTGTTTCTTTTTTATTTTATTTTATTTTGAGGTCTAGTACAGCTTCCGAGAGACTAGGTTTCCTATTGCAATAAATGATTATCTCTTTCTCTGGTCAGCTAGATTACAGCCACACATCATTTTTCCTTTCTCTGCTTTCATTATGGACTTTTATTCAGCTTTTGTCCAGACATCTCCGTCCTCGTCCCTCCCTCTGTCTTTTGCCCTTCTATTTTCCTCCCACACTCACCAACATGCCAGAAGTTGGCAGTGTCAACCAGTGCCTTAATGTGATGGTTTTAATCTCAAAAGAGTTCCAGTTGGAACTGTTTGCAGTTTTGTATATTCATTGAAGCATTCACACAGCACAATGGAAGACCACAGTGAAGAATGCTCATCTGAAATCCAAACAGCCAAAGATAAATGACTTGTTTTGTGCAGGCACTGACAAAAATTATGCATAAACATTAGCCGGAAGACAATACTGTTATTAAGGAATGCACAACAAATGTCCAATTTTTTTAAGTGTTCACCATTAACGATTCTTTTTTACTCTGATTCCCATCATCCTATTGTCTGGGTGCATCATTCTATTCATAATTCTTACAAATGAACTCAAAGAAAAATGCAACTTTTAATCTTTTTCTTTCTTTGAATTAAACAAAAAAGGATTTGTAATCTGCATTGTGCTGAGAATTAATGAACTCCATATGATGAATAGTTTTTGCTCACTGTTTAAGCACACGAGCCTCACACTGTTCATCCATTGCAGACTCTTTTCCCTTCAGTTTGGGCCTCAGTTATACATGAATTAGATATGATCAGACATTTATCAGTTATTTCTCTGTATACCACACTGATAACACAACATGAGCCTAAGCGTCAGTACTGAATTTTTGTATTGTATTAGATTATAGAAAACTCAGTAAACTCAGCAGTGTTTATTTACTGCTGAAATTTCCCTTCAGCTCTTTCATACCACACTTTAAGTGGTTTTCTTGATTGTGTCTATCGGATTGGTGGTTTGGCTCCTCTTGAGAAGCTGGAGGGTCTAACTGTCCGCTAGTGTCTCCTTGTGTTTCTCTCACACACAAATTCATTCATATCACTCCTCTGGTGTATTGTTATTTCTATCTTCTTGGTTCTAAAATTAACATTATAAATTACTTTTTTTTGCATGTTTCAAGCCTACATTTTCTGCAACAAAAATTATTCCCAAAAAATAATCACTCCCACATGTGTTTCTACAGGGTGTCTCTCTTTACAAGTAAATTGTATTCATTTTTAGCACTCATAGTCTTGCAGTGTAATATGAATGGGAATAAAAACAAGAAAAGTCAGCCAAATGAGGAGAGGATGAGTTTAAGTGGCAGATGGACAATGTACGAATGATTAAACAAGCAGTGAGCAGCATTTGGTTCTGCTGCACATCTCGCAGCATGACACCTTAACCATAATTCATCACCACATCAATTTCAGTGAGTTCAAAATGCTGCAATTTTATGTGAAGAACAAAGCAGATTGACTTCTCTCAAAGTGACATTGTTGTTTAGTTTTAGTTTTCATTGTAAGATGTGGAGCATCTTACAATCGGGGCAGGAAAAAAGGCAAACATTTTGTCCGTATAAATGATCATTATTCTTTTATTCTTTTCCAACATTTGCTTCTTTTTATATTTTGCTATATGTGTGGCTGTTGTGTGTTTCTTTGTCTTTGACAAAACCCAATTTTGTGCATTTCTTTGTTTAATCAACCTAATGTCAATAGCTGATCTTTACTTTCGTCATTTTATGTAAGCACCTATTAGACTAATTCTCTTTTTGATAACTATTCAGAACAGATATATTTGGTAGAAAACAATGTGTTGGGGCGTTTACTCACCTCCATGCATAAAAATGATTAAATCTTACTGTTTTTGTGGAATGAGTAGCCACAAGCCCTGCTTGTCTATACACACACACACGCACACACACATATACACACACACTGTATCATGCAGCCAGACAGTAGACAGACTTATGCTTATCCTCTCCACCCTCTCATCTCTGAGCCAAGCCTCAGGAAACCAGCTCCCACCTGGAGTTGTCTGGCCTCGCTGCCCGTCTTGCCCTCAGGCACTCCACTCTACGGGTTTCTGTGGGAGAAATAGGCAGAGGAAAATTCTACTCATTATGTAGTTGCCATTTTTATGTTCAGGATAAACATAAAACAGCCTTCTTTTTTTGTTTCCTTTTCAAGCGTGAGAAAATCAGCCACGGCTTTCCCTTGTTTTCTTTGTCCTAAAATGCCCTCTTGAATCAGCCTGTTTGTCTTAAAGATGAAGATGCGAGCACGCTGTCTTCTAGATGAAGAGGCCTTTTTCCATTTCATTGTATGTGCATTTTATGTCAAAATGGCAAGACATTTTTGCTGACTTCTAACTATTTCCAAAGTCAACTGTAAATTAGAAAGTTAAAAGGAAAAAAGACTCTTCGGGTGTCTCAACATGTGCCTTATGGTTGCGTTTGACCAAAAGTAATTTGATGGAAATGAAATAGTAACACATGGTGTTACGGAAATAATGTAAGTCACTGTATTGCTTGTGCAACTGTGGAAAAACAAGCACATGTGTAATGGTCCTTAGAAGAAAAAAGAACAGGCTCTTATTTATGGAATAGTCATACATTCCTCAGACAGACTATGACTCTACAAAGCAGTTATTTACTCTTGTCCTATAATAAGCATTAGTGCAAACAATCCTTTGAAATGTCCTACAATGTACAAGTTCTATATTTCGAGGCCAGTGATTTGTGTAGCTAAATAGATTTTGATGCCTCTTTTGTGTTTTCTTTTAGGTGGAACACTGCTTCAACTATCTAGAGATCCAGGGAATCGCTTGCAACAAGCCAACACAGGTACACAAGCTTTGACCCTGAAAGCAGTGATCAGGCTACAATTTTGGACACAAACACATTCCTGTTCCAGATTGGAATGTATGACCAGAGCTTGAGCAAAGCGGGCAGATCCCCTTGTCTGTTATTCTGAGTTTTATTTTTTTTTAAAGCTGATTGTGAAGGTGTCAAGTTAAGATGCTCTGTTGGTACCAGGCACCAGGGTGTTGCTGACACTTATTACACTTTTGCCAGGCACTAACATAGTCCTTTTGAAAACTTATCAATACAAGACCCAGCGAATGCACTTGCCCACCCCCATTATGACTTTTTGAATGCAGCTATCAAGCTACCACAAAATGTGATTTTTAAATTTTTATTATTACCAACCACTGTTGTAATTCTTATATACCTCTGTCTAGCTCATTGGGAGTGGTGTCAGTTCTCTTAAAATATTTACAGAAGGTCTGCTGTGCCCCAGCTTGGATTATGCTAATTTAAAGTCACACATGAAACACATGTCACTTTCTGTTGGTATTTGCATATTTATCTTAAAATGTATTTTTTGTAATAAAATAAAATTCATTCATATAGTAATTTGAATAAGGTGAACATCACTTGGTGTGCTTAAGACTGGCCAAGCCATTAGTTTTGGCACGAAAACTGAAAATCTCTGCAGAGGAATGGCTCAACAAACAAATTGCTGTGAGTCCCAGGTCTCAGGCTAATACAGAAAGGATATTATATGAGGCGATGAGGGAGCTCTGATTTCTGCACTGTCAATGTGGGGTGCTCAGATATCCTCAAACTGGCTTTTTGCCAAATATTGAAGGTTTGCTTAGTTTTTTTTATTTTAGAATGGCAATTGTGTTGTGTTTGCCATACAATTCACAAGTTGCAGCTTTTTATGTTTCTCATGCTTTAAATAGTTTAAGAATAAATACAGCATGGGAAATAACCATGAATTACAGAAATTTAGGAGGTTAGGATCATATCTTTAATGCTGTCTGAAACAGTCGAGCACAGTGATGGTGAAATTGTTCTGTGAAGAATTATTTCTTGTTTATAGTGACTTGGGTTAAAAAAATAGTTTGGATAGTGGGAAGGATAAACACTGAAATATATGCGGACAACCCGACCAAAAAATATTCTCATAGTGCTTAAATTATTAGGCTACGTTGCACGCTTATGGGATCATATAAAAAGAAAAGACACGTCTGACATTGCTGCAAAAAATACAGTAACAAAGTACTGAGTCAAGAATCTGAACCGTCCTAAATTTTCTAAAAGCTTCAACATCCCATTACTTTGTCACTTTGGCAAATTGTGGTGAAATAAAACATGAATCTCTGAGATTAACATTAACAAAATATGAAAGCTTTAAAGGGTTCAGTGCAACCCTCTTGGCTTACAGTGTTTCAAGAGTTCACACAGGCATTGGTTGATCCAAAGAGAGCTGCATGGATCACTTAATGTTTATGTTTGCTTTCAGCTATTCATAGAATATGAGCGTGGCTCTTTCTCTCTGAAGCTGCCCTCCACAGAGGAGGTAAACGAGGTTGTGGCTCACATCGGAAAGTGTTTGCTGAGGATATGTCCCGGTCTCCCACCAAGGTGAGTTTACCCCATATGTAAATTGTATCATATCAGTCTCTTTTGAGTTCACAGAGATTTATTGAAATCATGAATGCAGAAAACAATTTCTAGAATGAATTTACACTTTGTAAAATATTTTTTTATTTGACTTGATTTGATCTCAAAGGCACATGTTGCAAAAACAAATTACAACATTTTTTTCAACATTAAGTGACTTCTTTGTTAGACTGTGAGGTTTTTGTCACCTTTGATGTAATGCTGACAGTGCTTAATAATCTCAACAGTAGGTGTTCATTTGAATTGTTGGTTCCTTTTCAAATAACTAAAGAGCCTTGCAGCTGACAGGTTTATGAAAGCCTTGAAAAGTCTTATTTAACATAATGTTCTTTAAATGACTATGTGCACTATTGTCATTTAAATCTCCGGCAAGTACACTGCAAAAATGAGGTGACTAGACTTCTTTATTGTCTCAGTAAAGTGATGAAGAAACTCACCATGGACCCTCTGGACAGGCTGACCTCTCTGCAGACTCTTTGGGAGAACAATAAACCTGCTGAACCTGGTCCTTGTGGTAGGAACATGGCCCTATAATCACTGTGTGTGTGTTTGTGTAGAGTCAAGCCAGTCGCTGCTTTTGATAATACTTTGGTTTCCTATGCTCCGCTCACATGTAATTTCTGTTTAAGGTACTCTGTCTAATGGTTTTTTATTGATCTTATCTATCTTTTTTTATTTTTTTTATTCTTCTTTGTGGTTGTCCCTCTGTATAGGTGGATTTTCTCAGATGTACAGGTGTGTGTGTGACTGGTTGGGGCTTCCTTATAAAGAGGAGGTTCAGTGGGTAAGCATTGTGTCTGTTCTTTGGCTCAACTTTGCTTCAGTGCTGTATGCTGGCTATATAAAACCGCATACCATCTTTTGATGAATAGAATAACCCCAGTGCTGTATGTATAATTAATTATATCCTCTCCAGGATGTTGACACCATCTATCTGACTCAAGACACAAGAGAGCTCAACCTGCAAGACTTCAGTCATTTGGAGAATAGGTTTGTGTTGGCAGGGACCTTTTTTTCATATTCTTTGACCAGAACACACATTCTTTGACCAGAACACACATCGGCAACATAAAAGAAAAGACGTAAAATGCTTCATTTGCATGTTACAAAATTAAAGATTTGATCGAGGTCCAACATCACATTGTCAAAGTGTGTACCGAATATGTTCAATTGAAACTCTAACTTTGTCTCTCCTCGCTCTGTTCTCAGGGATCTGGTAGCTATAATAGCAGTCCTGGAGTTTAACCAGTGGTTCACTAAGCTGTCCACCAAGGATTACAAACTGGTTCGTACCTTTGATGTTTAAGCATTGAATTATGAGTGTTTCATCATCCACATTCATGTAAAAACCTTTAAAGATGATCTAAAATCGTCCTCTTTGGGGCAAGGGACTATGTCATTCATGTCAGTCGGGAAATTATTTAATCATTTATTTAGTGATTCCTTTTATTTCAATCAACAGCTCCCAGGACTTGAATGCACAGGTTCTGTTTATGTCAACACAGTTGAGGTCTGAGGTTCAGGGTAAATTTAACTCACTGAAATGTGTTCAGACTCTGAGTCATGCTGAGCAAAGAAAGTAGTCCTCGTCAGCTGTATTTATGCTTTATCCTGTCTGTTAAACTTTTATAGGGTTTGTTTTTATTTGGGCTTCTGAACAAAACTACTGTGAAAGATTGGCATTTTACTGTTCTAAAACACACCTTTCATCTTTCATGATTAATGCTACTAGAAAAACTAAAAGCTACAGTCCTACATCTCTGGAAAAAAAAACATCCATTTCAGAGATCACAAATTTTAAGTTGGCCAAAATATGGAAAATGATACATTAGCAAGATACATTTTACAATTCGAATTATCCTGTGACACTGCTGCGCACAGTTAGAATTCTATCACTTTCCCTGATTTTTAACCTTTAACCAAAATATTTGGACATGTTGAGATATCTTAGCTACCCTCTGACCAGTCTGACAGTCTTTTTTTATTTCAGTCAACTATTGACGGTAGAAACGGTTGAATGAGCAGGCTATCATTTGGTAATCCTTCTGATACAGATTGTATTCATCGGTGCATGGCTGACTAAATAAACTTATATTATTGTTATTATATTATAATCTTCTTATATGATAAGTTCATAAAAATGTAGGTGTTATCTCAGTTTCTTTAAGTGTTTCTTGGCACACCATATCTCCTTTATGTGCCGTGCAGTTAGTCATCTTCCACCTTTGGCTGACCATGTACAGCAGAATTTATCTGCTTTGACAGAATATTTTTGCTCCTTTTTTTTTTTTCAAAACCCCCTTTTTTTGACTAAGGATCAGTCCAATGTTCTTGTGTGATAAGACTCCTAATCCAAACGAGACAAAGGGGCTCAATGTCTCAGGCTGTTGCCCCCCTGCAGCACTCCATTACCAGCTCTGCATCTCAAGACTTTTTTCAGGCTCCCTAAATGATCACTCTCAGCTTCCCCTGTCCACACAATTACCTCACTCCTCTGTCACAGACAATTCCTTTTGTATTGAAATATAAAACAACCCTCACCACGCCACATGCTTACATTTCAACACAAATGCTCTTGCCAGAACATACACAGCCCTGTGTCCAGTGCATGTCCTTTTTTCGGTTTATTAGTGCTATTCTAGTGAGGGTTTCTGCACAATTTCATTTAGCTATTTTTGCCAGAGAAACAGCCAATAAAAGTTACTAAAGTTCGTGTACAGGTTGGCATTGTATGTGAGACTTATTCCAGTTGAAATAAAGCAAGTCTGAAAGTTGGAGGAGAGAGTGATGATAAAGCAGTGAGACAAACTGAGGACAGAGACGAGGTCAATAAACTGAGTGAGATGGAAAGTCAGAAGATATCAGGTAAGACTTATTAGATTTACACAGTGAAACCTGATTTGGTGCCAAAGAAAGCAAATTAATTTTCAAATCTGGGAAATTAGTAGAAAATAAAGCATTCAGCATTCAAAGGTTTAGCTTAAGGAACCAAAACCAAACAGTGTGTAATATGCTATCTATACTGTTATAAATTTACACCATAGTACATTCTAAATATTTAGGAATAAACACAGTTTGAAGCATGAAGAGGAAAGCAAAATGTTTCTGATAAAGATATGTGCTTAGCACTTAATCCACAAGCCCAAAGCCCCTAAATTACAGTAAAACAACCTCCACGTCAAAGATAAGGCAACTCTCAGATGAGCAGACTGGATAATGTAACACATACACATACACACACACACACACACACACACACACAGCAGGTTTTTACAGTGAGGGACAATGGTGCTCGTCCTCAGTTCAATCAGACTGTTGGTCTTGTGCTCTAATCAACACTCTGAGCCAAAAATGGCAAAAGATGAGATGAGAAGGGGCCTTTAGAGGACTGGCCCCTGTGATTACCTCATGACCACACAGCACAAGTGCACACTCCCGTTTGTTAAAGTGTGTGATATCACATCAATATACTGGGTCAGAACAGTCCAGCATGACATGGCTGTTATTTAACAAGTGGCAAATTGTACAATACACATTATGACAGTGTGACTGTGCTGTCTCCAACAGTGTTACTGTGGCTATTGCGAAACATACAAGGTTCTTTGTGCCACTCAGCTTTGCTGACTCCTTTCTCTGCTGGTTTACTCCCTTTCTCCCACACTGCTTTTATATCTTCCTTATCTTCTTTTTGTTATGTGTCATCCCTGGCTGCACTGCACCCTTCTTATTCCTCTTCTTTAATGCTCCTTGTCCGGCAGGATAATCGTGCAAACAATAGAGCCATTATTTTCTCTTTCTTCCTGCCATTGGTTCTCTCTCTTTCCATTGTCACTTTTGCTGCTGCTCCCTTCTCTCTATCCCTCGAATTCTTAGACAATACGACTACTGTTTTGACCGCACTAAGGCTGCTGGCTTAAAGAAACGGGCCTCGCTGCAGTAATAACTAACAATGATAACTACGCAACATCTGTGTAAAGTTGTGTCATTACTATGGAAACTGTTTTTGTTTTGATTCACTAATTAATAATGAATAAGTAAAAAGCCATAACAGTAAAAGTAAAATCTGTTTTGATACTTTCTGTTCTCATTTGATGATGACATAGCATAAAGTAAACTGGGTCACTCAACTTTTAGGTAGGGCATTCAGCTGTTAAATCTTTAATTTTGTCTAAATTTGACAGCTTTTACTCCCATGGCTGGGTATCCGGTGGGACTGAGACCACAGAAGCGAGACAACTTTCTCCTTCTAAAGTGCATAGTCTGCTCTCCACAGTCTCTCTGTGTCACGCATGAATAGTGTTTAGGTGGAAGACAGGGTTTAACAAAAAATAGGTTATTTATTTATTTGTGTATTTAGTGGCGCCGTTATAGAGGCATAACATCAACAGCTTTCCCAATTCCATTTGCATAGGTAAGCAGATATTAGAACCATTATGAATTCCTGTGATATTCCTGTGACCTCGAACGTTCCGGTGGGGATTAGTTCATCAGAGCCCCATGATCTGATTAGTTGATTTTTGTGCTTTGGATTAGAAATAGCTTCCTTAAAGTATTATAATAAACCAGTGTATGACAATGACTGCACAGCTTTACATCTGACTTTAAAAGGGCCCTCACTGAAGTCTGCTGGATGAAAACATAATGCAGGTTCTTTAACATTTAACATTACGATTGTGCCAATTAGGTAACAGGACTCTAAAGACAAAATATGTTGTTATCATAATAGAGTTTGTCATATTTCTGTGCAGTCTGCAGATGTGTGTGAGCAGATCCTTCGGATGGTATCTCGGTCCAGTCGACTGGAAGAGTTGGTTCTGGATAATGCAGGGCTCAAAACGTAAGAAACTTTTCTTATGACTCCTAGTGCATGAACATGACAACACTATCCACTGTTGTTAGTTTTTGCAGGGAATTTATACATTTGAGGTCAGTTATTACCTTGAATTTTGGATTTAGCCAAAAACCGAACATATTCGTTTGATGCCATTTTTTATTATGATAGCTTCTTGTTGAGGCCTATGTATGTTATACAGTGGCCATGAACGTATAATTGATACTTTGACAACCAACAGTGATTTTGCCCAGAAGCTTGCCGCCGCTTTGGCCCACAACCCCAACTCAGGACTCACTACCATTAATCTTGCCAACAACCCACTGGAGGACAGAGGTATGCATACCCTGATAAACTCTAATGTATTCATTGCAATCAGCATTTTTTTTCTTCGTACTTGCTAACAACTGTATTTACAACTGTGTGTCTGTCAATAATTCAAATGAGTTAAACGCTGCAGGAACTTGATTGAGAATACTTTGCCATTTCTTACTGTCTGTGTTATTTCTACATATGTGACAATTTTGTAGGATATGAAACTAGATTAATGTTAATGATCATTTTCAACCTGAGGCTTCTTGACCAGGACTGATGAATTACCAAATATTAAGGCAGATGCAAGGAGTCCAGCAACAATTTTATGTGGCTCATCGCTTCTTGGTTAACAGTTCTTTTAAAAGCAAAAAAGAAAATTCTGGCTCATCCTAAAAAGAACCTCAACATGCAAATAGACATTACTGATTTTGTGCACTAAGTATAGAGCCTTTATTCCTCATGACTGGTGTGGACTGGTGTGAAGTGAAAAATGATTAATTCCCAGAAGTGCTGCAGAATGTGAATAGAAATAAAAGGTTGCTGCAGCCCCATCGACTAAAGCCAACATCTAAAAATGCATTCTCTGTGTTCTCTGTCTTGCTACAGGTGTTTCCTCCCTAGGTGCTCAGTTTGCCAAACTCCGTATAGGGCTGAAGCATTTAAACTTTTCCAAAACCTCCCTGTCACCCAAAGGTATGTACAGCCTGCCTTTCATGTTGCCAAAATGAGCTGACAAATCACTTACAATTAAGCTAATGTGCTGATTGACTTGTATGATTAACAGAAATATCATATTGCAAAAAACTGCTTTTTTTCTGTTCATGCCCAAAGAAATATTCACATTCTGATTTGTAAAGGGAGAGAAAAAAAACATCCATAAATGTTTATCCCTGGAGGACCTTTCCTTCAACCACTCGAGCCAGGCATTATTGACATGAATAAAAGTTCCACTTACCTCAGACATGTGAAGATACTGATTTTGCATAATTGAGCAAGTAGAAGTAACCAGCTGTGAAGTTTAGGGCACTCTTCCTCGTATATCAAATATAGCAGTTTTTATTTATTTCCTCGGTTCCCTTCAGGGAGCCCCCTGCAGCACTGTCTCAGCACTGCTCAGCCTGCTGGGATTCACTGTAAACATGTTCTGCTCTCAGGCAATCAATAAAGAGCTATCGTATTCAAGAGTGTGGGTTGAAAGGGCTTGGACTCTTTGAAATGATCCCTGGAACCATAACCTACCACCCCAGACAACTGAGTGATTTTTTTCCCCTCCTTTTTATTTCTGAGTTGAACACTGGTTTTGTTGTAAACTGCAATTCAGCACATTCCTCACATGAAGTTTAGAGCTGTTTGTTTGTTTCTCTATTTTTGTCATATTGTTGTGTTTTTTTTTTTACTTCTTCTCGTCCCCTTTCCTTGATCAAAACTGTCAGTTGACACGATGCTTTTATTTATAAGCAGAGTCAGACAGGGTATGTCATAGCAAATGTGGCAGTTATATGTGTCAGGAGACCCGCAGTGTATCAGATGTTGTTTCTCTTTCAAATGCACACTGATCACAAAAATGCTGTAGCTCATTACAAGGCCAAATGCATAATTCCCCCCTGTTTTGTCTATAATGTTATGACATAAAAAGCAAGGCAAACTCATACAGAAGTAGAGTAGTGTAGAATGTGGCATTTACAAAATGCCACATTTATATTCTGATCCTGTTCCGTCCTGTCCCCTCTTCATTCCTTCTCCTTCAATATGCTGTCAACATATCAAGTGGAGATTTGAAGATTGGGAGAATGCTGACACTGTTTCTGTGTCTGTCTGGACTTTTAGGGGTGAATAGCCTTTGCCAGTCACTGAGTGCCAACCCATCCATCCCTACTAGCCTCGTCCATCTGGACCTCTCAGGGAATATGCTCCGAGGAGATGACATGCAGGTATGATATACTACACTGACTATATATGACAATACACCCTATTTCAAACCTTGGCTGGTTAAAGTAAACCCCAACGTGTTGCTAAGACTGAGTAAAACATAAACAATTCATCAACAGTTGAAGAAGGCCTCATATTTTTTTTGTATTAAAACTATATATTCAGAAGTGGTGTCATTTTATGGGAAGACATTTTTGAGGAAGTTCCAGTGACAGCATGACAGATGGTGTTTGCTTTGTGACCACACATGCCATTATGTCCCTCAGTGTTTTATTGCCTTTATCCTTTATGCACACAGCATTACTGATTATTGACAGGAAGTCAGTTCAATTTAAGGTTAGATTTAGTCATATGCTAAAACGCACTTTGATCTGACTTAGTTGAGGATATGAATACCAGGAAAATGTTTGTACAGTAGGCTTGAGGTTTGCAGCAGGATGTTAGCTTAGCTTTAATAAAACACAGTCTGAAACTTTCCTCATCTTTACTCAGGATGACAAAAGTTTATCGCTTTATTTAAATCCTCCATTTAAAATTAGAGTATGAATATTTATGTTCTATGATCCTATATTCAAGATTTCTTCATGTTTTCTGTTTTGTTGCAGCATTTCTACCACTTTCTTGGTCAACCCAACAGTCTGGCAACACTTGACCTCTCCAACACAGACTGCTCATTGGACCAGGTGAGTCTGTCCAATAGAAGAAAAAGTCATAAAAATAAATACATGGTTATAGAAAAAAAAGATTTTGTTCAAAAATAATATTGGATACCTGATTATAACTCAACATGGTTCACACAATTAGGGAATTACTGTGACCTGCAACATGCTGTTAGTGCTATATATCTTTTTAAGATGAAATTCTGGACATTAATATCTCTGTGCAAGCAGTTTAATCCCATTTACTTTACTCACCCAGTGCTGCAATTCACTGCATGCAGAGTGGTCTGAAAACTGTTTGTGATGTATTGCTGTTGGTCTGAGAGCCAAGCACAGCTTATTGATTAGTTTGAGATGTAGCCAGCTGTTAGCCAGTCACTGGGCATATCGATTAGCCCCTAAATCATATTCGTTCTCACTCACAGGCAGGATAGGATTTTTGTATTTCCACATTTTGAATTACACAGCATCATAATGACAACATTTTCACAACCAGCATAAACCATATTTTTTATAATAATATGTAGAGCCCAAACAAAAAGACTCAAAGGGACACATAAACCAACATGATACCCGTGTTGCACAATTAAAATGTAGTTTGTTGTGCTGAGATATTCTGTGTGTTCCAGGTTTGCTCTGCTCTACTGCGAGGCTCCGTACTTCACCTCTCTGTTCTCAATGTGTCAAAGAGTGTCTTCCCTCACAGGTGACAACCTTTTTTAAACTTTTATTTGATAAATAGAAGGCAGCCCTGCTTATTATACAGAAGCATATTTGAGTAGCTGTGTATGTAATGATTGAAAGGCACATTTAGGAGAGGTGGGGCATTACAGTGATGTATCTTAATGCCGATTATTGCAAATAATTTGCCAAGGAGTCTGACTTGGATTAGATTTCATTCAATGGTTTACTCTAACTAAAACTTTATATCAAGAAAACATTTAGCCTCAAAATACTTTGTTTAGTTGTTCATTTTAAAAGTCTAGATTTCTAAAATATCTGTTTTTGCTCAGTCAAGTGCAGTGTTGGCATTATCCCAAACTTGTTTTAAAGTTAAATCGATTTGGAATACCATGTTCATTGTCACCCATAACATGGCATCCCACTGAGGCTTGCCTGTTATTCTGCTTGTTAATTAAATGTAAGTCTGTAATGGTCATAGATAAACAGCATATTTGGGTAGATGCGTGACACCTACTGGTGAAAAAATGCAATAACACAGTAATGCAACTTTGATTGTCTTGCATGTAACAGATGGGTTAGGGATGGGGGTTTCATTCCAGTTTGCCTCTGGGGAGTTGGAAGTGAGATAAGAGACGGAGTGGGAGATTTGGGGCTGAAAGACAAGATGACTGGGGTAAAAGGGATGGAGAGGGAAGTGTGCAGAAGACGTGGGTGTTGCATAAAAATTCTTTGGGATATGAAATGGGCAGAAAGTAAAAATCTGATGTCAGCCTTCATCTCAGATCTGTTAAAACTAGAAGAATTTCTATGCTGTCAGTTCATAAAAGTTTTAAGTTTGCTCAGGAACTTTTTTTGTTTTTTTCTTCTTTTTGTTTTTCAGGAAAGGAAAAGAGGTTCCCCCCTCATTTAAGCATTTCTTCAGCAGTGCCATGTCTCTCAGCTCCATCAATGTGTCAGGAACTAAGCTGCCCCCAGAGGCCCTCAAGTGAGTCAATGATTAATGATTAATGATTCATTTGTGCATCACACACTCACGTTTGTCCACTTGTGTCTGAGGAGAAGCTCCGTCATACATTTTGTATTTAACACATTTTTGCTTTAACTCATCCATTCAAACTGTTGCTTTTTTATATAGCATGGTAAAAAAAAGCTTAACTTGGTAGCCAACATTGTAGAAACCATTCTGACAGTCTTAACAAGATAAATGTGTTAACCCTGCTCTCAAGAAACACTAACTTAATTACCTCCATCTTAAAGATAGTCTTCTATTTGTTATCTTTTTACCTTTGTGCAATGTTATTATTGTAGAGCACTTCTTCTTGGGCTGGCCAGTAATCCCAACCTTAAGGATGTGTCACTTGACCTCAGCTGCTGTGAGGTAAGAATGACTAAATTAAACTGCACAATCCCAAAAAAACTTAAACAACTTTGGTTAAAAATGCATCTTAAATGGCTCTTAGTGACACACTAGCACATGTCTCATTTGCATTTTTAAGTACTGCCATCAGTAATGCAGAAACCTGACCTGGCTGTGGTAGATTGAGCGCACAGCCTTGAATATGAAAGTGTGGAGAGCATTCTTCACACCTGAAGCAAATCCGTACAAAACACAGTAAAAGCTCTCCTGAATTAGTCAAAAGCTTCAAATATAGATTCCAGGTGATGTCAATTTATCCAGCCCACGTGTCATCTGTTAATCCTCTATACCCATTTGTCTAAGTGCCCTTGTCAGCTAATTTTTTCCTTTTTTTTGGAGTGCAGTTTAGAATATTTTCAAGGTAAGGCTCATCAAAAGCAATCAACTTTTTTGGATGCACTCAAAAACACCATTTGACATGCCAGCAGCAATAAAGAGAGGCTGCATAATGGAACACTTGGCAAGGCAGACATAGTGGGGAAGGAGAAGGGGGGCGAGGAAAAGAGAGGGAGGGGTTCAGTTTCCCTCTCTGTCTCATCCCAACATGTGCTAATGTTTGCGCCAGCTCGGCGCCTTCATCTCCCACCTGCTTGAATAGAGAGAAGCCTAATTCAGATGAGATGCTTAGGATAATTACACAGGAAGTCCTATCCTAGATTCCTGCAGACATCTTCCCTGACAGAATCCTCAGGGTGAAATGATGTGCCCGTCCCTCTTCACATCCTCTAATGAAGCGTTTGGTGGATGTGCCCCAAAATTGTTCATTGAGTGAGCTGACAGCTTGCAAAATCAGAGACTCCCTGCTGAGTATGTCTTTGATGAGTGCGATTGTGTATGATTGTGATCATTAAGCATCTGTGTGTTTTGTTGTTGGCAATTGCTGGCTTGGCTTTGACATGCTTCTCTGTCCTTCTTATGCTTCTGCAAGCTTGGCCATTGTGTAAGTACTAATATGGTCATTCCTATTAATTAACATCTCATTCTTCTTTTCTGTTGCATGCCTGTTTTGCTATTTCATTTTGTCCTTACTGTATTTTCCGTGGGTTCACTTAGAATCCTTCATAAAAAGCTATTGCTCTGGTAGAATCTGCTGATGTTCAATAAAGGATTGCATCTTTTAGTAAGAGTCCATAGTAGGGTGACCATATTTTGATTTCCGAAAAGGAGGACACTTTGCCTCGAAGCGGATTCAGACAGGCTTCTCAGATGTTAATGAACATGATTTAACATGCTTTTTCAGTGGTAAAAAATAACTTTGGTAGTAAAACACAATCTGTAACAACCAGTAAAAAAATGATAGCCCTCCTATAGAATAAAATCAAGTTCTAAATATGACATATTCTGTATTGGAAAACTTTTTCAGTGTCCGTGTGAGCTTTGAGATGTCCAGCAGCTTTATTAGACACTGAAACATATGTGCCAGCTTTGCACACGGTTCACTCAGGCTCCCACAGGATTTAAAAAGTGGACATGTCAGGACAAAAAGAGGATGTTTGGTCACCCTAGTCTATAGTCACTATAACACGTATTGGAATACATAAATTTGTAGCTGCAAAATTTCATATTGTTACATTTCTAAAAACATTAGACCCATTCAAGCCTCTGTAAAAAAACAATTTGGTTTCTCATGTTGTCTGTTTTTTCCCCTTTTTCTCTTCACAGCTGCGCTCTGGAGGCTCTCAAATCCTCGAGGGCTGCATTGCTGAGATCCCAAACATTTCAAGTTTAGATATATCTGACAATGGTGAGTTTACCTCTACATGTACTGTATATCTAACATTTGAAGATCAGTTATTGTCAGAGACTTTTATAATGCTCTCTTTCCAGGCCTGGACTCAGAACTCTCCACACTCCTTGTTTGGTTAGCCAAGAACCGCTCCATCAGACATCTGTCTCTGGGCAAGAACTTCAATAACATCAAGTCCAAGTAAGAATGCAGGGCAGGTGGGGAGGTTGTGTAGATGCAGTGTAATAAATAAGGTGGGAGGTATGACATCAAATTGCAGGACTGTAATGCTTTTGGTCGTATAACCCACATCTCCCTGTTTAATGGATGTGCTTTAGTGTAAAGTCAAAGCTTTCACTCAAACAGTCTGACTGCACCATTTCTTTGCTGCTTAAAACTTAAAAAACTGTTTATAGCTGTGATTGTTTTGTTAAAGCCATCGTGTTTACGTGTTTATCTTGTCTTTGCTTGACCTAGAAACCTCGCTCCAGTGTTAGACAGCCTGGTTCACGTGATTCAAGAGGAGGAGTCAGTGAGTATTTCTTTCATGCTCATATTTGAGATTTTTCAAGGGAAAATTGCCTTGTGCTAACGGAGGACAAAACTCATGTCTCTATTTTGGTTGAGGAAACATCCAAGAGTAGCTTAACACAGTTTTAAGCTACTACACAGAGCATCAAAGTGACGATTTCCGTAAACTTTCCATTTTATGGTCACATTTCATTTTGAGAATATAAGAATAATCCATAGTTAACGGCTTAGCCTTTGCACTCTTTGCATGCACCTCAGTCAATCTTCACCATGCCATCTTCATCATTCATGAGAGCTTTAACAGGTTTTGCCCTGGTGTCTGCCCCCCTTTCTCTCCCAATGATGGATGTGATAGATTCATGATTCTGCTGAGCTGCTCTGACATGGATTGCTCTCTTGCTACTTCTCGATGTGTGTGTCAGCGTATACGTGACATGAAGGTGAATCTTTAAAAGGCAGCTGTGCAACTGAGCTGTGGCATTCAGAGGAGAGTGGGAGAAACAAAGGCATGAAGCAATGGTGAAAAAGAGATGGGAAGAGGCCCACATTCGCAGGTTATAGGAAATTCAGTTCAGATGAATAGGGAGCAATACACTGACTAAGGTAGTGTTCTAGAAACATATTTAGAACCAACTGGGAGAGGTTAAAAATATCTAGGGGGTTTGTGTGATCATGTTGCTTTCTGTCACATTGTCTGTGCATGTGAGAGAAGGGATTGCATAACAGCTTTTTGGGTATTTTCCTGTCAGAGTTGACAGTTAAGGGAAGGCTTGTTTTTGTGTGTTCTCTCCATAGGTTTCTTATTTTTTGTGATTTGTCACAGTAAAAGCAGACTGAAAGTTTCTATCTAAATCTGAATTGTAAAGTCAAGGTCTGCAGATTGTCATTTTAAAGTCCAGTTTGGACAACATTGGAAGAATTGTTTTTTCCTTTTTTTCTGAGACAGTGAGCTATTCCCCCCAGCAGTTATTGTACCTCAGTGCCCAAGGAATAAAAAAGAGAAAACATTATTTTGTACATTTATGAATGAAATATCCACCTTTTATTCTTAACATTGTGTATAAACTGGCATGAAGGCATGGGACTACTACGACCTTTTACAGTCTGAATTTATTGATTTTATCACATGCTGTATTTTTAATCTAGTTTCAACTGAATAGGTTCAGTGCTAGAGATTTGTGTCTACTTTATTTCTCTCAAGTAAGAATTGCCTATCGCCATCATGCTAAAATTAAGTTATGTTTTTCAAAATAGTCTTTTAGCCCAAAGATTACAGGCTGGGTTAAAATAAATTAATCAATGATGTTAGCATTCATAGGAATACTTTTCTAATGCAAAGTCTGTCACATAATCTCACAAGTTGCACTTTGTTCTTCCCTCCCCCCCCCCAGCCCCTGACCTCCCTATCTCTAGCAGACTCCAAACTCAAGAGTGATCTGACCATCATTCTTAACGCCCTCGGCAGCAACTCCACCCTCACCAGACTCGACATCAGTGGTAACGCAATGGGTGATATGGGAGCCAAGATGCTAGCAAAAGCCTTGCAGATCAACTCCAAACTGAGGTGATCAGGGGTCATCCACAACTACATGATTATCAGTGTTTATTTTATCTGAGTTTGGAATTCTGGCACAGTCTGTTAAAAAGACACAAAGTAAGGACAAAATATAGTATAATATCTGAGTTTTATTTTGAATGTATGAATATCCTTAGCACATCATATTATGTTTACGCTTTCGTTTTTAGTCTTCATTTTATTCCAATAGAGCTTATGTGCTATTGTCACATAGTTTTCTTTTTGTTTACATGCAGGACTGTGATGTGGGACAAAAACAACATCAGCCCTCAGGGTCTACAGGATGTAGCAGCAGCTTTGGAGAAGTAAGTAGCAATTTAAATCCATATAAAGTATATATGGGTATGGCATGCCTTTTACACTGCAACAACTGGTGTAGACTACCATTCCGCAAAACACGAGGAGCCTTTTTCAATGTCTGTAATTTTGCAAATCCCTTAGTTTATATTAGCCATCTTCTACTGCTGTAGACGAAATGGAACAAAACCTCCATTCTAAAAGTCAGGGGGAGTCTTTGTATATCAGACCCTGAGGTGTGTTTAGACAGAAGTGAGAAAAAGTATAAAGACATAGAGACTGCCATGCACAGGGAGGAAAGCATCAAAGACACAATGGCACGAGAAGACATGCTGTAGGGCAACAAACAAAGCACAGCAGATCAAAAGGCAAAACTCAAGAGCAAACAAAGCAGATTCTTGTCTTCTACATCTTTTAGCTGCTCTCTATTCTTGGTGAGCATGAAGTGCGTACATTTGTTTCTGGGACACATGTGAGCATGCACATCTCCTTCCTCTGTCTTCCTAACATTCTACCAGCTGCATGTCTCCTCATTTCCCCTCTTGAGCTGCCATATTGAATTATTGAAAGAGCCATGTCTTTTTCATTAACCCTGATCCCTATTCTGTTCAGTACTGCAGAATTGTGTGTTTTTCCACAGTTCATTCAATTCCCTCATGTTTCTTGGTCTCTGTTCACTCTTTTATATGTGCAGTACTGCAAAATAATGTGCCACTGACCAAAGTCACATCTTTATTTATTTTCACTTTAGAACATCCTTGACAGCAAACCTTACATTTTCTATGCCTCAGCTCTCTTTGTAACAGATGCTTTTTCAGTTTATTCACCCTAAATATATACCGTATGTATGTGCTTTCAAGTTGCTTGATGTTATGTTAAATTGTACCTCTACAACCCGTCATGTTTGTTTGTCTCATTCTCTATGATGCAAAGTCTAAATGGAATTCTGTCCTCTGGTTTTGTGTCCATTAGAAACTTCACCATCCGCTTCATGCCCATCCCCATCATCGATGCCTCCCAGGCCCTTAAGTCAAGCCCTGAGAAAACGGAGGATGCCCTGCTAAAGGTATATTTGAACCCACCTTTGATACTTCAGACTTTGATCTCTCAGGGAATTTTCTTACTTGATTTTCTGACTATTTAAAAAAAAAAAAAGCTGTGTAAACCAAATCACATCTGTTCTCTTTTTAAGTTTTATGCTGACAGCTTTGCTTTTTTTCTTCACAGATTGAGAACTATTTATACAGGAATCATGAAACCAGGAAATACCTACAGGAACAGGCTTATCGGCTTCAGCAGGGCATCGTAACTACGACCACACAGCAAGTGAGGATATAGATTAGGCTTTCACTGCTTAAAATGTTTTTGTTTCCTCTTTTGTGTGTATTGTATTTTTTATGAAAATTTTAGACCACTAAAATGGTTAACTTAAAGATGTGCCCAATTAACTACAGAAAAATATGTTTTCTTAGTTCCTATCATTTGAATGATCCAGCCATAAAGGTGGCTCTATGTTGCCAATAATGCTGAATAGGTTTTATTCTGTACTTTAGCCAGTTCAATTCAATGTTAGACTTATTTTGCATATTATATGATGTAAAAATCTCGTTGATACTAAAATGTCCGAAGATGCACACACAGAAAGCTTCATGTCTTGATGTTTTTACCCTCCAGATGATAGACCGGATTTGTGTAAAGGTGCAAGACCATCTGAACTCTCTGAGGAACTCTGAGACAGACGTCATTTTAGAGGATGTCAGAGCAGCAGAGAACCTCATCAAAGACGCAAGAAATTCTAAAACAGTAAGAGCACACATGTTAATTGAGTTTAGTGTCAGCGTTTTACTTTAAGAATGATTTTTTTTTCACTTTATAAGTATAAATGTGTGTAAACAGTTGGGAATTTTTCTATTATCAGACATTGTTTATATGTTTTTTTGTGTCATCTTGGTGAATAACCTTTGTATGTTTCCAGCTGCTCCCTAATCTCTACCACCTTGGATCAGCATCCAGAGAGGAGGTGAACAGTTCATCAGTGGGTCCCATCCAGGAGAAGCTGCAGTCCATGGCTGGAGAGGTCACCACGGTCATGGACCAGCAGCTGCAGGTTTGATGTTCTGACGGAAGAGTTTGAACAGACATTTTTGTACAGATATTCTTGTAATTGTCACTGAAAAGCAGTTTCAGTTGACATAATCAATGGAAATGATAAATAAAAATGGCATTTTGTTTAAGCTCTTTGATATTTTGGGGATTTTACTGTAAAGAAAGAACATACTTTTTTGTTGTTCCATAATCAGAGCCTGATACACTCTTTGGTCCATGCCATTCGTAGCATCATCAGATCAGCTCACTATTCTTTCTAATTTTTTATTCCAGACCTTGTTAGAGTCAATGATGGATGCAGCAGAATCGCTGTGTCCTCATGTGATGAAGAGGAGTAACCTCCGCCCAGACCTGATGAAGGCCAGTACAGCCAAGATGGTTGTCCCTAAAAGCTTCGTCAGCAAAACTCTTCTTGAGCAGTCGGGGGTGGATATTATCAACAAAATCAGGTGCCTGTTATGAAATGTTTGTTTCTGGGATATATGCTTTAATGCATGTAGCTATTATTTCAAGTCATTTCTACCTTTTTTCTTGAGATAAGAAAAAATTATATTATTCGTCTCTTTCTCTGTTAGTGAAGTAAAACTGAGTCTGGCCTCATTTCTGTCCGATCGCATTGTTGATGAGATTTTGGAGGCTCTTTCCACATCACAACACACACTGGTAAGACAAAAGCAGCGTGAGGCCACAGGCTGAGTGAGAATTATATCACGATCAAATCCATAAAATTGTGCACAATGTTTGCTTGGCTGAGATGTTAAAAATTACCCAATGCAGTTTTTTTGCCTGTAACATTTAGGCTTATTTAAAGGTTCTTTTTTAAGCATATCTTCTCCTCACATTATGTCTCAGTTGTTTCTCTCATCCCTTCTCCCTTCAGGCAGACCATCTGGTACGGCGAGGTCGTCCTTTGGTGCAGCAGGACTCACTGGATCTAGATGTCCCAGAGGAAAAGATTCCTAAACGGGCATCAACCGAGATACTGGAAGCTGAGAGGCTTGAGGATCTTGAAACGTGTATGGTAGGTAATGGATTGTGTCTAAGAAGAACCTTAGGGTACATTTTAAAAAATAAGAATCAACAGTTGAATATAATAGGCCTGCAAAGTATCCATCTAAATGGCTGTAGCTTTCATGAGCCTGTTAATTCAATTAATTCAAAGACTTTTGTCTTTTGTAACTGAATTCAGAGGGCATATTATACACAAAATGTTTATTCAGACTGGATGGACTTCTGACAGGTTACTTTTTTAAATTAGGATGCAGAAAGCTTTTATGACCCAAACCGTTTAAACTTTGCGGTAATAACTGTGCATAGTTACAGGTAACAAAAGTGGTCCAAAGCTGGACACAGCTGCCATCGCTGAGTAAATAATTCCTGTATCCAGATCTGCTTCCTTCACTGCTTATATAACTTCTGTTCATATCCATCTACAGCCAATCATTTTTAATAATCTTAAGAACAAAAAAAACAACCTTGATTGAGGTAATACAAAAAATGTTATCATTAAACTTAATAAGTTTTATTTTTATGACTGCTTTATTAGTCTTTAGATGATCCTTTGATTTTCAGATGGTAATTTATGTCTCATTGACTAAAATAGCAAGTGCATTTTCAAAACAAAGATCAATTCATTCACATGGAAGAGAAGAGTTTGGTGCAGTGTGCACCAAGAGTGGTGTCTTTCTTTGGTCTTCTTAGTAGTTATACCTTTACCTACTTTTATATTTTTGGCCCCCTCTTGATGTTCTAGTCCCTACTTTCTGCTCCTTCCTTCTCTATAGAAGCATGCCTATCTTATTCATTTTTCTCCTAAAGCCTCACTGTGTGCTCTCGCCTTTTCTCTTCAACCTTTTCCTCTGTTCCTCTTGTCTTTTCTAACTTTGCTCCTTGGAGACTCTGTGCTGCACCAGTGTAAGTAATTCTGGACTATCCCTCTATGCTCCCCTTTCTATACATTCTCACTGTGTTTGCTACCAAAGTCCTCTATAGCTTCTCTGTATTTTACTCTTAATCTCTTCAATCAGTATAGGTTTTACAGAAGATGCACTCTGTCTGGTAAACTGCATAATGCCCTAGAATGCAGTTATTCACTTATTTTATCCTTCCAATTTAATTTACATGTGTTTTTTTCCACTCACTGCTTATGCTCATCAATTCTCGCTCTTCACCAGCTTGTAAATGTGGATCATAATTAAAACAACATTTAGCCATAATTTATTATATACAATTTCAAATTCTACCACATATGTTCGGTTAAGGAATATTTAAAGGTTAAATGTTTTTAATGAAACTATTAGTTTAATCTATTTTTCTCTGTGCATGACCTAAATCTCAGAATGTGACACATAAAGGGCAAAAAAATAGTTTAGCAGGTATTTGTAATGGTAGTTTAAAGTCTGGGATAAAAACATCTTAAAATGTTGATTCATTTTATGTGTTTTATTACACTAGTGTCTTCAAAATGCTATGTTGTGGAAGCAAAATATGAAAACCTATTGAATGGTGATGGTCTCAGAGCAAAAGACCAATACTTTTTGATTTTTACATTTGCTGTGTATGCACATGAAAACAAACTTAACTATACTAATTTGGCCATTCTTCGTAGTTCTTTTCTTTTTTATCGACTCAAGTGTCCAGTAATATTTCCTCTCTGTAGATGACTCCGAAATCTAAACGGAAAAGCATCCATAGCAGAATGTTGAGGCCAGTGTCTCGTGCCTTCGGTAAGTGGAAATGTTTCTTTTCTGCTCTGGAATATAGTTAACTAAGGCTGGCATGTTCTGATTATTTAGTTATTGGTAAATATTCATCAGTACTGCGTTGTTGTGAGTGGGAGATGCACTTCCAATCTTGTCAAATGCAAACTTGCAGAAATGGAGTTTGACCTAGATAAGGCACTTGAGGATGTTCCCATCCACGTGGAGGATCCCTCCACTTTTTCTCAAACTCCATCAACTCCATCTTTACACATGCAACGAACTCCTGGAGGGATTGCAGAGTTGCCATCTGAGGAAGAAAAAAAACTGCAGCATTTCACGAAACTACGGCCTCGGAGAAACAAAAAAACACATTCTAACAAAGTACCTGTGAGTAAAGTCTTGCATATTCACTTTCTAAGTTCGACATATTAAAAAAAAAACTCTCCAAACTTGCAGACAAAGAACAGATCTGACTTTTGTTACATTTCTTTTTCTTTTTTTTCAGCAAATCAGCAGCACTTCGTCACAAGATGGGGAACAGAATGGTCTCATGGGAAGGGTGGACGAAGGAGTGGATGAGTTCTTCTCTAAAAAAGTCACAAAGTTAGATTCAAAGTAAATTTTCTGCCCCTAAATAAATCACTTTCTACATAGTAATTTATTAATTTAACAAATTACATCCTCCTGATATTCACTGTATCTATTTTTTTTGTTTTAAGAATTTCATATTGTAAATTTTATGACCATCTCTTGTGTTGCCTCTTCAAAGACGTTCCTTGAAAAGTTCAGAATCTCAGGACGGAGAGAAGAAAAAGAGTAAAGGAGGGTTTTTAAACCTCATCAAGCGATCCTCCAAATCAGATAAATCTGACAAAGCAGATAAAATGGAGAAAAGCCAGGTGGCTCCAGCATCTACTGGGACGTCCTCAGCATCTGTAGCCTCTGCTGCAGCCCCCACCATCCCAGAGGAGCCCTCCTCTCCAAAGACAGCAGTAAAGAGTCCAACACCTGAGCCAAAGTCCAGGTAAACATTAGATATCAAACAGCTGGCGACTCATTAAACTGATTCCTTTTTTTTTGTACTTAAAAACTTAAAAAACAATTCCTGTCTCCACTTCAGAGACGCCTCCACCCGCTCGCAGCCCACTGACTACAGCAGCAGCTCGGACAGGTCGGAGGAGCTGAGGACCCCGGACTCCATGGACGAGCCATGGGAGGGTTCAGACGGCAGAGGAAGTCCACAGGGAGGGAAGCGCTACCCCGGAGTGCAGATGATGGGCAGCGGCCTCTTGGCAGAGATGAAGGCAAAACATGAGAGGAGAGCTTACAAGGTTACGTTTTGGCCTTTAAACTATAAACACTGAAATCACATTATGGATAGGAAAGAAAAAGAAATGAGGCACATCATATTTTGTGATGGTTGGGGGACAGGATTAAATTGCCGATTGGTATCCATGGCGAAATATCAGATGCTTCAACTATCTGTCTCAGTTCCTCATTGACAAGTTTCTTTCTCTGAAAAGTGTATCAAGTTAAAGTTAAATTATATTGTGACAGGGATGTAAGAAAATGTACGTGTTCTCTGTGCTCTCTCTGAGATTTTTGTTTACATAAGCAAACACGCGATTGTTTTGGGCACAAAGGACTTTTGGTGTACAGCCTCCACTTGTCAGAACTGGTTTATTCTACACCCGTTGAATTATATTTTTCCATATATATTTGTTGATACCAAAGATATCCACAGATACATATATTGTAACTTCAGGCTTAACACTATGGTGGCATAAAAACCCCAATTAACCTTGATGTTCCTGCAGAATGCAAAGTGGGAGGTAGGTATAGTTTGAAATATGAAAACATGAAAATATATATGAAAATTAAAACAGAGACTAAAAGTGTGAGCTGCAGGACAGAAGGACACGTGTTATTGTCATTTAACTGTGTACATATATATTTATGAAAATAGTGTTTAATGATACACCTCCAGCCACTACAAAATCTTTTTAATGTTCATGTGATTATTTGGATGGATTTTGTTTTGCTCTGTGTAGTAAGTCTTTCTTTTATCCTTTCATCCCCTCTAGTCTTCCAGCCCTGACAGGCCAGACAGCAATACTACAGGTAAACCTGAGAAAAATCATGAACAATGGTGAAGGAGAACTGGATTGAAACCAATATATAACTTCCAAACTGAAGGTTTTTTTATTCATGGAAGTATAGTTTGTCAATTGTGGTTGTTTTTGCTTTATAGCCTACAGTTTTCGTTCTGGTTTACGGCTTGGATTTCTAATGCTGTGGATACCATTGCATTTTTTAAATCTTTTTACCTAATTTCTTTTGTGGAAATGTTTGTTTGCATGTGTCAGCAGCCAAGCCCCATTCAGCGACTCCAGAGAGCAGGTCTCCAAGTGGATCTACTAAAGCAGACAGTGCTCCTTCAGAAAAGACTTCGGCGCGGGGTGAGACTAAGCCTGAACCAGCCTCTCGTCATAGGGCTACATCTTCCTCCAGTTCCCCATCGGGACCAGGAAGCCCTAAACCACCAGTGCCACATGGAGCAAAGCCTGCGCTCGCTGCTAGACCTACCATCCCACAGAAACCGCGGACCACCAGTAGTAGCAGGAGCACAGGTACGCTCTGAGCTCTGGAAATGGACAGGGATTTTAATCCAGCGATTTAATGCAACTATAAATTGGTCTGTCCCTCTATTTCTTAAAAATACAAACCCGCATTTAGCAAAACATTATTATTGTATCCTGTACAAATACTAAATGAAATGTTAATGGTTTATCTTACGATATAAATATTATAATTAGATAGTATGTTATAAAATATTTTGGCCATGTTTCCCATAGATGATAGCTCAGATGTCTTCAGTGGCGGAGGTGGGTCTCCTAAAGTTAATGTTCTGTCTTCAACACTGAGGAAAACACTCTCTGACAAAGACAGAGATACCAGTCTGAAGCCAGGAGTTTCCTCCAACAAATCCACTCAGGAAGGTGAGAAAAAATCTTAGTCAAGCATTACATTTCTCCACTTCTGTGATTAATTTAATCGTACACAGATTTTCAGTTGCATCAAAAAGGCAGTCAAATGATAAGTGGTCTTCAGCTTATGACATCATACATCACATTGATATCTCTGTCATATTAAAATGCTGATCAATATTTGATGTTACTGTTGGAATGAAACAGTGTTAATGTTCAGGTCTTGTAGGGTGCTGTTGTCCGTCATAAGGACTTATACATTTAGGTCACCACTCTCTGTTCCACTGCCATTCATCTATTGTACATTATGTAACATGTGACATAATACATTTCAAGTCTTGAGTCTGTCACTCCCAGAATGAACTGGAACTTTCATGTAGCCAAGCAAACCAAGCTTTACTCTAGAAATAAACTAAATCTACGCAGTGGATCGAGGCTACAAACTTCCTCCATTGATCTAACACAGGAAACACCTGAAAAAAACAGTCAAAACATTAAAAATCTGGTTTACTTGTTACTATGTTATTTTCCTTCTTATTCGGATCATTGTCGATTCTGCATTTTTCTTTTCTCTTGCTTTTAGCTAAGTCAGCATCAGACACGGCTCCCCGTTCCGGTCCTCTCGGCATCAATTCTGAGGATCACAGTTCAGTCAAGACCAAGGACAAATCTCCAAACCCAGACAAGGCGAAAGCAGCAAGAAAGAAGTCCTCCGACTCTGGGGAGGAAGCTGACAAGGACTTTATCTTGATATGAGCGTGTCTACAGGCCTCTAATTTACTTATAGAAAAGCATACAAATGGGGAAAACCCTGTCATGATTCAGTTTATATTACAGTTTCTACCTGCAGGTTCAAATACGTAGATCAGGAAGACCTGCTGGAGTTCAAAGAAATCCAGATTCAGTTTAGAATTGGTTATGTAATACATTTGTCATACTTATTATAACTACAGTGGCAGACACTTATGTCACCCAAGCAAAACAAACACTGCTAAATTTCTCAAGAGCTTCCTACTCACAGTCCTTTCTTTAGATCTGCCATGATATTTGTTCTAACTCACTTTTGATTAAAGTCAAACTGCATGCAAATGATGAAATGACTGAAGTCATTTCAGTAAGCTACTGAAAATGAGGAAAGATGCTTTAAGAGTAACCAGAAGACTAAACTAGAGTACATCTGAAACCGCTATCTGTAACTCACAATCTGCTGTCTTTTTAATATGTTCTGCCATAGCTTGTTCCCAGGGACCAAACCCAAAGTAACAGTTATACTTGAAGACAGACACAGGAGCAGACCGGGGCTCCAATGGATTTCTTTCCCCCTTCAGTGCATTTGTACAGATTTTACTAAAGGCTATTTTCAGCAGATGCAAACTTACTCCGGACCTCAGACATAACTGAATCCATTATGCAACATTTTTTTATCCAGGAATATACAGGTTTCAGCCGAGATTCTCAGCGCAGAGGGCATTACCGTAAATTTGTTGTAGTCGTCATTTGATGTCAGTAGATTCATAACTATCCACATGGATCTAGTAACACTGATATAGATAGACACTGTGAAAAAAAGGAGAATTTCTCCAAAAGAGAGATGGTTCCTGTCCTCTAGCCTCTAATGTCCCATGTTGAGGTTGCCCAAATGTGCTAATTGTTCAGTAACAGCAAAGAAATAAAGAAACAGAATCTTAAAGCAGGAGACTAAAAGTACTTCAGCATTCACACACTCCTCTTTCTAAATGTAATTTGCAGCTGTCCCTGTTTCACTTCTCATACTGAATGGGAGTTGTTTTTTTAAACTGCCAATGACCAGAAGTGTGCCATCAGGTGGCAATCTTACTATTAGTTTAAAATAAGTGTGCAGTGTGAAAACAAACTGAAAATAGCTGTATCTAACTACAATGACCTCTGCTCATCATTAACACAAGCCTTAGGCTGATTTTTCAGTTTTTTCTTTTTTTTATCATGCTGCTCTACAGTGTACAAACTGATTCTAAGATTCAGTGTATCAAATTATTCATCCTATTTCCATACTTTTAAAATTTGTGCCCCGAACATTAGAATGTTTCGTCCAATAGAAAATCAAGCTGTTTTAAAACACTAGTGTGGGGCTAAATGAAGCATCTCCTGTTATGCTGCATTCATGTCACACTGTACATATGGTAAATGTCCGTTTTTGTTAAATATGGCCAAGAAACCTAAAACAAAAACAACAAAATTGTGAGCCCCCAGTGGCCATAAAACATAAACCCAGGTTTACTGACCATGGTGCTGTATTGTCAGTTCACTGTATTCCAACTCTATGTAGCCACATCTGCAACTGTCTTAAGCCCTGAAATCCTCCAATATGAGCTCCATTCTACTCCACATCCATATTGCCACATCGTGTGAAGCATCTGTGTTAATTTTATTGCATCACCATAGTGAACATTTACTACTTGTGTGCCAAACTGAGCTTTGACGTTAACTTTTATTGTGCTCAACATTATTTATGTTCAGTGTGAAAGGGACGCAGCTTATACTGAGTTGTACTGTACAAGAGTTAAATTCAAATCAGGGCCAAAAGTCTTACTGGTGCACCTTTCTTCCATCGTAGTGACTGTTGATGTCTTTTTGTGGGGCTACAATGACATGTTGCCTCCCCGGCACTAATCAAAGTTTACAGATATCACTGTTTTTGCTGTATATACTTACTCTGTCCATACAACCACAACATCCATTTTTGTCTCAAACGAACAAATAAGAAAAAAGATAAATGCATCTACCTTTTGGTGTGTTTCAAGCAGATACATGTGGCTGTGTGCTGTAATTTGTTTGCATTCTTAACCTTTGCAGATGTGAGGATATTATCTGGACATTCTCTACTGTTCTTTACTTTGTGTGTGGAATTTATGAAGCAACAATGTGAGCTTCTGATGCACTGTGCAAGGAACTGATAATGAGCACCACTCTATCCTTAGAAATGAGCATCCATTTTTGTTTTGTTTTTCATAGAGTGGAGAAACAATAATTTGAACTAGTAGCATTAAGTCTCAATCTCTGAGTCTCTGTTTGACCGCATGATATGGCTGTGAGTTGTACTGTATGTATATATGTGATTTCATACATGTAGGTATGTTTGTGTAATGATAGCACATGTAATATACACACTGTGATACATTCACATACCTATGTGAACACAGCAAATCTTATATTGCTTTGGTACTAAGTACACTACCATACTAGGGGGTTTGTTTGTAACTTATTTGGAATAAAAAAAAAATGCAAACAGTGGACGGTGACGTCTGGATCCTGTGTTGGTTTTTCTCCACTGTACATTATGTTAATACATTTACAAACTAGTTATTTGTATTTATTAGTTACGCATGTGACCAGTTTGTGTCCTTATAACTGAGTTTTAGAAAAGAATTGTTAGAAAAAGTAATTGCCTTGACATGCTGGGAAAAAACAGAAATACAAATTGCATGTTGAGCTTTTTTTCTCAGCCATCAGACGTAATTTTTTCTGTTTTATCATGAATCCGTTTGTTTCTGGTATTTGACATTTCTACCCAAAGACATAATCAAATTGATTAAAATAATTTACAGCCAATAACAGCTCTGCATTGTCTTGTTTATAACATTTTATGTGACTTAAAATGAGCTGCAATTGCAGGTTTCCCTTGCAGTGTCAAAGCACAGCCACCAGATGGCAAACACATAATGAAGCTGCTGTGTACAGTTCCTCCATTTTTGCCTCTTTTGCAGGAAGACAGGCACACACACAGGGGGTGGGGTTTTTACTTATTCTCAAAGAGCATATGTCAACCAAAGCAAGCTGTTGAACAGTGCAACCAAGTGTGTCATCTCAAACATTTTAGTTTTGATGCATAAAAGTTCATAGCCTACTTTTCATTCTAAAAATGGATAGTGCTTTTGATAACCTGGATGCAGCTGGTTTTCTGGAAATTTGGCAACACTTTGATGCAGATGGTAAGGACATTCAATTACTTGTTTCTGTTCTCATCCATACATGTACCTAATGCAATGCAATGGTAACATTTTGAAAAGCTGTTTATATTATGTTAATGTATATTTTTGCATGATGAGCTATGGGGCAGGGTGCATTCTTTTCTAAGTGTCATGTTCCATTCACTTAAAAAGTAAGAAATTCTGACATTTCTCTGAAAACACCTCAGTGACAGCCAGGAATCAGCATATCTTAAATGGGTTTAATACAATGTAGATGACACCTCTTGATGTGGCTCATTTTGAAAAAAAAAATAATGGGGATAAAAGCTGTTTGACCATATCTAAAAGTATGACTTTTTCCATAGATAATGGCTACATTGAGGACAAAGAGCTGGATGAGTTTTTCCGTCACATGATGAAAAGACTGGCCCCACAGGTATGACAAAATGATGTGTGTGAATTAATCTATAACTTGCAGTGACAGGCGTTCAATGTAGTGCTGCCGACTGTGTTATCATTTCCATCTCGTAATGTAAAGAGCATAAATATACACATCTCTGCCTAAATGCTTTTTCAGTTTTCTTGTTAGAAATGTGTGAAAAAAACCTTGTTCGTTTCTTTTGAATTTGTTCTGTAGAATTACATTGTTTGATAGGCACATCAAACTGCAAATTTGGATTTTTTTTTTTTATTAAACTCATAAATCAATAGAATGCAATTCTAGATTACAAAAGCTTGGCTTTAGATTTGTCATATTTGTGATTTGTGCCACACAGGCAGCAAAACTCAAGGATCCCACCCTTGCAGAGATGGGTGGGGTCCCTGTATGGATGTTAGCTGACAAAATTATAGAGCTCTGTCTACTGTCAAAAGAAAATACTTTGAATCGGCTACAAATTAACTTGAAAAAGAATATTTGAGCATGTGCACTAATTCTGCACTAATGTTCAGTGAACAATGCTAATGCTGTTCCACTTACAAGATTAATACACAGATTGATCTTTTTCACTGACCAGATGTAATGGAAATCTCAAGTAGCACTCATCCACTGCCTGCTTTTCTACACGTGGATGTAAGAGAGTGTGTGTGTGTGTAATATGTGGCATCCCTTAGGTACTAAGTGGTTGTGCTAAAACAAACAGACCACCAGCCCATTTTCTTTCTGATGTTTGCCTTCCATCAGTAATGCCCCCAGGAGTAGGCGTGTTGGATGAATTTATCACAGACTTCAAAAACACTCCATCACCATTATGTAATGGAAATCTCATAATTTAAGCAGCTGTTTCTCCTTCTATTTATTCTAGAATATCATTTACAGCTACTACACAGCCACTTGCTGCTACATATTGTCAAATACGATCCCATATGTAACCTAATACAATAAATGTCAGTGAAACTAAAAGAATACACAGATAAGTTTACTCTTGGAGAAACAACCTTTGTGATCAGATATGAATGGGTTCATTTCAAAATTCAGCACAGGGAGGAATAAGAGTTTCTGATGTTCAATGTTGGCACCCTGTAGTTTGCAGACTAAGTGCTCTGCACTGTATGAAGCAATGATTCAGACTTAGCACTTCTGACCAACAGGTTTCTATAGTTACAGAGCCATGACTGGTGGTCAGGGAGAAAAGTCCAAATCTGGACAACTAATTACATTTGATTGAGTTGCTGAAAATGTACTGACCTTACTGGTTTCACATAAAATTAGCTACTCATCATTGTATTAATGAATGTAAACACTGGTTCAGATTTTTCCTAATAATGAATAGGAGCAGAAAAATAAGTGTTTTCATTTGTAACCTCCCTCTCTGCAGGAGAAAGTGACAGAAGAGAGGGTCCAGAGGTTAAAGCAGAGGTTTATGTCTGCTTATGATGTCACTGCTGATGGGAAACTACAAATTCAAGAGGTACAGCCATTTCCATGACTGAATTCACCCTTATTATTCATCACAAACAGTTAATATAGCAAATGCTACATCAGTCAAATAAGCCTATTTATTGAACATGAATGAGTTGGTGAGTCAAAGATATTTGGAAAATTAGATTAGATTCCTCAGGTGTGACATTATCTTCAAAGATTTTTTTGTTTCAATCAGAAAACACAGCTGGATGTACATGTTTGCATGTTCTGTCTGTCTATGTGTAGGTTCTCTCTTGGTACTCTTTCGTTTCCTTCCCTCTCCCCACAAACATGCCGGTTAGGTAAATCGGATACATTAGATTGATCCAAGAATGCACTATGGTTTGTTGCCTTAAAGTTGACAAGTTTTCACACAAGCACAGATCTGATTGCTGCGGGTAGACACAGATGAAAGTCTCTGAATGTTTCTCTGACAACCACTGTTCTTTTTTATGTTATACAGCAGACTGATAGCTTATTTACCCTCACATGGCAACTTCCTTTTTAATCTAGATTGTGCTGCTTTCATCTGTGCCCTTTCTAAAAACCCATTCCACTTCCTTCACTTTATTAACTACCCCTCCCTCTTCTTCCGCTGTGTGTCATCATCTGTAGCTTTTTTTAATCTCATGTATCCATGACAGTGAACCAACGTATGCGTTTTTTAAGAGGAACAAAACATAATTTCAACTGGTGATCATGCCAAGAGAAGAGACAGCCAAAGGCATACAGAAAGCCAACCTTTTAGTGAAATTGAATGCCTACAACAACAATTTATGTTGTATATAGTAAGTGCTATATAGAGCTTGGGTTATTGCAAGTTTGGTAACAGGAATGCTTTAGTGGTTAAAATTTGGCTCAGTCTAAATTAGTATAACGGATTTCAGAGTAGCTAAGGATCAGATCTACTATATTTGTGGTGTTATGACAATTGCTTAATAGCTACCTGACAATAACGGCAGGAATAGCAGTAATCGTAAAGCTGAAAGTCGACAAACACTGTCTTAAGTCATTTTGACCTAAATGAGGATCAGCATAATCAAAGCACATTGATTTGTGTATTGATGGCAAAGAGCTTTAAGCAGACTTCTAAAGCTGATGTCCCAAAATGTTACCAAGGACTTAGTTAAGTTCAAAGATGTTGTGGCTATACCGACATTAGTATTCACAGAAGCCAGTGCCATCTGGTTAAGGTGATCATAGGAGAATAAAGATGTGAACTACGAGGTTAGCATGTTTGTAATGTGAAGCTATTACCGTTCACACTGTTAAAATACAGTAATTTGCTTGTGTTTGTGACTTTTCTTTTTGTATGATAGCTTAATGATTAATAAGGGAAAATCAGATGCAATGGTTTGGACTAGAAGTATTACCGTGGTCACTAATACTGTCTGCGCTGGCCACTTAAGTAGCCTTGTGGTATTTGTCTTTTTCTCTCTCTCTCAATGTACTGCATACGGCAGCTATCAAGAGGAAGTGAGCAGGCCTATCAGAAAACCACAATTTCCGGTGCTTTAGCTGCTCAAAGTACTGTTACTTCTCCTCTACAATGTTGTAAGCTGGTACTCCAGACAGTGTTCCTTTAATATAAAAGATATTTCTCAACTTTATATTTGAAAAAAACATTTTTAAAAAATTCTGGTTGAAACAACTATGAGCAGAAAATTTTTTGTGACAAAAACGATATATATCTGAAGACATCAGCTACATTCTGATAACTGACATGTTTTTCTGTTTCCAACAAAACTACCAGCAAAATCTGTGCAAACAAATTAAACAGATGACTGCAAAATGTCTTTCAAAACTCTGGAATGGGAAAGTCTATATGCGTATGGGTCCTCTGCAGTACTCAAGACGATTAGTGCACTGCGCTTTTTCTGACTGCAAGCCATAATTCAGCCTTGCCCTTCTCTTGAATGACTGCAGTATTTTATTAGAGTGATCATTAGGGTCCAGTTTAATCAGCTAATGGAAGGCTGATCTTGGTAGAAGACCACAGGCAAGAGAAAAGCTGCATGAAATCAACGGACATCAGACGCATGTTTAGTGCAGTATTTTTTGTAGTGTCTTTCTATACAAAAACCTGTGTTTCATTTATTTTTTCAGAGTTGAGAAGCTTTCCTAAACACTTTAAAACAAGGCAAAATCCTATGAACTGCTTTAAAAAAATTCTCACATGTCCTTGTGTTACGACCCCTCCCCCAAGACCACCAAGGGTAAAAATTGGCACTGGGTCTAACACAAAATAAGGTACCCTGAGCAGTTGGTTTCAGTAGGAAAAAAGATAATTTAATTGATATTTCAACATAAAGTCACAATAAACATACACAGGGAAGCTTTTAGCTTCAGGGTCTCCAAGGCCAAAACAACAAACAAAACATCCCCCTTTTAATTATAAAGTAAAAACACTTTCTAGAAAAGGACTGAAAACAAAGTACAAAACCTGAACTCCCTGGCTAACCAATAAACAGGAGAAAAACGGTTAAACAAAATGGCAGAGAACCCCTACCAGCTTCCACTGTGAAGAAAACGAAATTATAAACACTTTAAGTTTCACACAAAAGCTCACGGCAAAGTTATCCCAAATCTCAAAGTCAGTTCACTGCCAGGATCATTTCAGATCAAGGCCCAGGGAGACAAAAGGGGGGGCCTGACATCTCTGGTCTGGCCCTCTTTATGGGGTGGCTGACGAGCTCCAACCCATTCCACCTGTAGTAGCCAGGTGTAACTGAAACAAAGAAAAAGCTACTCCTGATAGGAGAGCCCCTAGAGGTCAGTGACCGTAACACCTTGCAATGTAATAGTGTTTTTTGTTGTGGAAGTTTAGTTTTTTTCAATGACCTAATACAAATCCAAATAACACATTGAGTAGACTGAGATGCTCAAAAATTAGTTTGACCTAGGTGGGACCAAAGAAGGCATTATTTGACCTTTAAGAATATAGAGCGATGCAGGTGTAACCAAAAATGTAAACTAAAATCATGAATTATGAAAGACAGCTGAAGTAACCTGTGGAATGATCTTTTACATTTGATGGAGGTATTAGCGTTCTTTATGTGATCTGTGACCATTTGGTCAGTTTCTGTTCGGATAAAAATGGGCCTTGGTTCTAATGGGTAAAATCCATGGAAAATCTCTTTTGTTAATTCCTGTGATCTTCTTCTTGTCCTCCAGTTGGCCAACATGATCCTGCCAGAAGATGAAAACTTCTTGTTAATTTTCCACAGAGAAGCTCCTTTGAACAACAGTGTTGATTTCATGAAGGTAACACTAAACATGGCTGTGCGATTCAAAACAAGATGAGGCAAGAACAACATCAACAGTTACACCGTTGCATTAACACTTTAGGACCACAATGGTCTATTGAAGACCAGTGGTCAAAGAAATTGAGTTTTTTTATCTATTGAAGAGCACTTTATCAACAGTGTATAGAGAGGGCTTTTTTCATTTGAGGTCTACATTAATAAGTAATATAAACAGATGAATTCAGAGGAAGAGATAATAGCATATTGTAATTGGTGAGTCTCTCCAAGGGCTATTCAGAGCACCAACAAGCCACTAATGTAGTTATATGTACATGTGTAAAAGATTCAATCTCTCCACAAAAGATGCAGGCAAAAGCCTGCAATGTTTATTACCCTCTTAATTTGATTTCCAGTATGGGTTTAAGTGTTTGTAAAGGTATATACCTGTTTTTTTTTATATATCTCACCTGTTAATCATAACTCACCATGAATAAACATCTCCATCTGCAACATTCAAGCATCCTTAATCTTTCATTGTTATGTACACATGTGCTGCTCTGGCTCTACAATTCCTTGCAGATATGGAGGAAGTATGATGTTGACTGCAGTGGATACATCTCAGCTCAGGAGCTAAAGGTAAGTTGACATATGTGTACCTTGCTCCTTACCTACTGGAATATTTTGCTGACTTTTTAAAAATAATTATCATTCTTTTGTATTTCAGGCTTTCTTGAAAGACTTGTTGCAGCAGCACCACAAGGAGGTCTCACCTGATAAACTGGAGGGGTACACTGACACAATGGTAGATATAAAACAAATACACAGAATGGGCTGATTTTCACTTTATGATGCTTTCGTTTATCAAATCCCAACGTAACACCCTGCTGTTATAAACAAATGTGTAATGTGTTATTTTCAAGTAGCTGGCAAGAGCTGAAAGTATATTTGTAAAGTTAAGGGGAGAAATAAGCAACCACTCTTAATAAATATGTTATGGAATAAGGTATTTTAGAGAGAAAAAGTCTTGAATCGAAAATGACAGGCTTGTATAGGTGGATTGTCTCATTGCATCCTATTTTTCTGGCAGATGAAGATTTTTGACAAAAACAAGGATGGTCGTTTGGATCTGAATGATTTGGCAAGGTACTGTTACTTTTTTATTGCTAATATTTTTCATAATGCATCTCCAGCCAGCTTACATTCTAAAGCAGGGGTTAGAAATATGACTGACTCAAACAACTATTATACAATGTGCATTTAAAGGATCTTAGCTCTGGATGAGAATTTCCTACTTCAATTCAGCATGGATGTAAGTATGTTAGGTAATATATTTCTATCAAATTTAAAAAAAAAAAACATTTCTGTCTTGGTTTTTTTTTATTTTCTTTCTTTGTTTTCAGCAACTTGTCTTCTTTTTTTTAAGGCAAACAGTCGAGATGAGAGAAAGAGAGACTTTGACAAGATCTTTGACCATTATGATGTTGTAAGTACAATCATAAAGTGGGTGGGGTGTAATGCGAAAGCTATTCATAAAATGTGGAAAAATGCTATACATGGGAGGGATGAATAAGGGTACTTATTTGGTTAAAGGAACTACGTCTGCCACAATATTCAGTAAAAATGTTTGAATGTTTTTCATGCATACAAATAGTTTTTGGTTGAATGTTTTCCCATTTTAAATGACAATTTTAACGGTGTGAATATCTTCCAATCTATATCAGTATCTACTTGAGCCATTAAGCATGCGTGTCCTGATACGAAAAGTAGAATTACTATGTGCAGTACTTCCTCTTTTCACTGCACTTTAGGGTCCTCTTTTTGCATTGCAACACCATTAGCACTGAACTGTTTTTATTTATTTTTTCTTATGAAACTATAGGGTAAATACACAGAGTGTGCGACTCGTCTGTGCTGTGTGTCACTCTTACATTACGTATTAGGTTGAAGGCTTCTTGAGTACATGGCAGCACTGCTTACGTGTGAAGGATTGCTGAACTCAAGAATTCTGGAAGAATGCTTTCTGAGCACAAACGGAATAGTTCCGGCCATAATCTCCAGTTAACTAATGATTAATGAGAAAAGACGGGAGATGTTGCCTGATCCTATTAGTAGGCTGAGCCCTTTTTCGTTAGAACTCTTTATTTGTTTAGTGTCTAAATTTTCTTCAGCTTTCACATCTCCTCTAATGCAATGAAACACTGAGCTTAAGCTTTTATACGCATTACATTTCTGCAACTTACAATGCCATTCATAGCATGTCACTCATTTTTGTTTTATTTGAAATCTTTTTGCTCTTGATCCCTTCTTTTTTGCTGCATTCTCAAATCCTTTATCTGCTATTTCACCATATTCACTTTCAGATCATCTCCTGTTTCAGTGAGTGATTTTATCCTCCTTCCATTCTTATCTTCTCTGGCAACATGACTGAAAAATGGATGGGTTTGTTAGGAAACAGACATATCTACCAATTAGATTAATTATACAACGTGTTTACAACGACATACAATTTCTATTACAGTGTTCTTAAAAATAATCAATTTCTTCTTTGTCTGTTTCATGCCCTGCTGTAGCCCTGTTAGTGGAGTAGTTGATGAAGGGTTCTTGCTATGTTGGTCTCTCCTCTTCTCTTTCTCTGAGCCGGTTCTAACTGGTCAGTCAGATGTCCTTGCAGAGGCCTGGCTCTCAGTCAGTGTCGCTGCATTGCCCTCTCCTTTTCCTGCTGTCTATCCTGAGGTGTCTCTGAGAGACTCTGGACCTATTTGTGTTCCTGTATCAGCATCACTCTCTCCACTGGAATCCTTCCCCTGGCTGTGTGGGGACATCTCCTCAGTCCTGAGAAACTATTTTTAACTGTAATAAAGCAACATACCGCTGACTCTTGCAAAAGCATGTGAGATTAATAGTATTTTTACTGTGATTAAAAGTACAAAACCTGTGTTATCTTAGTACATCCCTCCCACTGGGCTTCAGACCTCTTTTCTGACTTCAAGCACTCCGAACTATTCAGGCTTAAGCAGTTTCAGCCTCATATCTGAGCCCCCAAAACAGCCAGGCCAACATCACTCTGTAATTTTTCTACTTTTATCAAATTTCCAAATCGATCTGGTACATATATTGTATTTATCTTTTCCAACAGTTGCTGTTGCTAACGGCAACCACCATTTTTAGTCAAAGGTTGCCGGTTAACCCAGTCACAAGTTAAACCATAGAACCTTATCAATACATGAGTTGTTGTTTCTTTGTTGTGTTTTGAACATAACAAAAAACAAGAATAGTGCATCATATGGCAGTCTTTGAAAGAACTGAGAGTCTTTGCTTTCCTAAAAACTTGCCTGATGGAATTTTCATTTTTGAAAACTCTAGTCCTTGTCATCAAATGTGACAAGGAACAAAGTTTCAGTCTACTCTTTATTTAGTTCTATCCTGTCTTAATTATTCTCTTTTAAAAATGACCGACCACAAGGAGAGAAACTCATAGTCATCCAAAGCAGATGTTGCCACTACCATTTTTTGCTTCTGCATGTTAATAGCACTCTAATTAGCAGTCTGTTGTAGTTTGCAAGAGGACATGCAGTTTAGGGACATTGAATCAAATTAGTTCCTATTACTTTTGTAATATTATACAATGAAATAGAATTAAACATTATGTGGTCAAGTCACACTCTGGGATGATGAGCTAACTATGTTATTCTGAGTGATCACACATGTTTTAGACACAGGTCATCTTGATAAGCCTTGAATATTCTTGATCATATTGCTGTACAATATACATAAATATATATAAAGTGGTATATCAGCTGTTGTCTTTTAGAAATGTTTGTGTGTTTTCTGACTTCAGCCTTCACATAAACTTTGTCAAACGTTGACTTTAGTCACTGGGACATTGGGTTACTGTTAGTCACGTGTAATAATGACCAATATATATAAAAATGTTGTTTTTACTAATAGATGTCTAGGAAAAGGTTTCCACTTTATTGGGGACAAGATAATCAGCCCTCTTAAGACATTTTGAATATCCATCTGCTGATATGTTCTCTGAATATTGTTAGTGAAGTAATCAGCACATTAATTCTGTTTTTTGTATTTTCTCACCTTCTGGTGTCCTGTTTCATTCTTCATATGTTGTTCAGAGTAAGACGGGAGCACTGGAGGGTCCTGAGGTGGATGGCTTTGTCAAAGACATGATGGGGCTAGTGAGGGTAAGCTAACTATAGTCTTTTGTTCAATTTTAAACCTCATACAACTGACTGGTGTTAAATAGAATATTAGAAATAACTGATAAAATACTGCTATTGAGTGGCATCAAATTTCTGTGACAACACGGTATGGGAATCTAATAACTTCTATGGGTTTACCCTTAATACTCTAACCTTAGAAAGACACATTTATGTCAAACAGTGCTCTCCTAGTAAGTCATCTGTATTGCACTGCCAAATTATCTCAGTGGAAGGCCCTACTCAGAGACGGAACCCAGATGGGCTTTGCAGCCACTAGTTATAGGATGTTTGGGGAATATTTGATTAGCTGCAGTTTGCAATTTGTTCCACCAGATGTCATTCCATGCTAAACATTGAATCACTAACAATTACACCCAAAATGTATTAACAAATTTTTTTCCTGTTGAATCCACTGGATTGAGTTACCAATAATCAAATTTTCTCTTGATATTTCCTTTTTTCTTTTCTCCAGACAAAGATCATAAAGTCTGACTCCCCAGTTGATAAAAAAAGAACCCCATAAAACCTCTTGTTACAATTGACATGTGACATTTTCAAATTCTGACTTACAATTTCCAGTCACACTTTGATTCACGAGCCATTTTTCTCCTTTAGAGACATCCAGATACGACACATACAAAGCATAAAGGTTTAAATGTACTTAGAGTTGAATTTTAAAGTGGAACTGATTTGTCGCAACAAGTGTTATATAACTCAAAAGTTGGACGCAAATCATGGATTGTGGATTGTTTGCACGTTGATATCAGCACAGTAACTAAACCCCTCTTCATCCTCTCCTGCTCCTGTCTTCTGTCTTCTCTTTACTACAGCCCAACATGACAGGTCCTGAACTAGACAAGCTACGCGGTGTTCTGTTGCGTCATTGTGATGTCAACAAAGACGGGAAGATCCAGAAAAATGAGCTAGCCTTGTGTCTGGGAGTAAAGCCAAAGCCTTAATTTGACATCCACTGAATGATGACACTGTGCTAATCAGTAATGGAAAAAGTTATGTTAACATTCAAATAATTACTTACACTATTACTTACACTATTTATGGTTAGTACTCTTGCAGTGTTGTGATATTTGATATGATAACATTTTTTGAGCATGTTTCAGGACCAAAACTAAATAAAGGGATGTTGAAATCCTTTTTTGGTGAGCATATAAACTGTGTGGTATATAAATCAGTTTGAAAGTCAGTAAAAGTGACATATTACATTTGAGAATTAGTTTATCCTTAAAATCAACTGATCAGTCACCTGGCTAGTACAGATACATGCATGTTTCTTTGTCGAAAAAGACATAATGGATGTTGTTTAGTGTATTTTAATATAATGGGCTGTTATGAAAATAAAAAACAGTGTTGAGTGGTGGCTGATTGTTTTTATTTCACAAATTAGGTTTGATTAATGCCATATTTAAAGCGTGAACAGGCTCTAGAAGGCTCAACACGGCAGAAGCACTGTGGAAATATGAATTTTTCTTTACCCTTTCCATGCCTTTGTGAGCTTTATTCAGGTAAAGAGTTTACTGTAGATGATGTTTGATACCAGCCTGCATCAGCATTTATGTCAAATAATGTACGCAGCAGCAATACATCTATAACTATAAGAATATATAGAGGGGCTGTACACATTAGGACCCATTTTTAACAAGTGTGTCATAAGATTTATCATTTAAGTAAACCAAGTTAACCACTTGAGTGTAAAGGGATTCAATGGTCATTTTGACCCTTTTCTTCACAGGTGCAGCATGATGGCAATTTGAGAAGGTTTGCCAAGCAGAGAATTAGAAAAACAATGCTGTTAGCTGAACGGGAAGCCCTTTGGCCACTAAAAGGTGCCTAATGATGTGGACCTAAAAGCTTTACTCTCCCTCTGACACCCTGATTGCCATTTCAGTCACTGTAAAGTAGTGGTGTGTGTTTTGACAAGATCACGGTGCCTTTGTGAATTTGAATAAAAAGAAGCAACACTGCAAATAATGAATCCTTAAAAGATTTTTTTTAATATAAATATTTAATTCTGTGGCTGCTTATGTGTACCTTGTTCGTGACTCTGTGTTTGTGTGGGCAGAGCAGCTGATACGCAGCTGCTGCTGAGCAAACACTTCCACATTCTGGCTGAAAGCTTTTCTGACGGTAGTTGGCGAACAGCAGTAGGAACCTTCAATGAAACAGAGTTAGCATCAAGGCTGAAGTACAGAATGGGTTTTGAATATGGCATTTCAACATAATTTGGTGAAAAATGGTAGCTGTGTATGAGTTACTGCCTCTGGACTTTTGTCTGCTTAAGTAATTTGCAGCCAACAAAATTTTTGTTGGCTGCAAATGAAAATGAACTCTGTTTTTAGACTGCACTCATCTCAGTTTGTAAAGAGATTTTCATCCTGAAATGAAAGACTTAATTCTTAGATAATGGCCTATTAAGAGGCATCTGTTTTGCTGTGTCTGCTGTCACATTAAGTGCCTAACCTCAGGCTAGATGTGTGTTTGATTTGATCAAGCCTGAAAAATAACCAGTGAACATCACCATGAAGAAGGGATATTCATCCCACAAAAGTGCACATCATCAGACTATAATTTATTCAGGCTCCCCCAACTGTCAGTCTGAAATAAATAACTGAAACTACTCTGAAGTGCAAAGTCACAAGCTTGCATGTGCAGACTTCCTTCCTTCATGCTGACAACATCAGATAAGATTTTAAGAAATCAGAAAAGCGTTTTTGTGGTGGTAATCTGGCACTTGTCATTGTGCGGAACTATATACTGTTTATTTATTGGCAGAGCCTGGGGAATTGTTTAAAATTTGAGTTTGAAAAGGAATGATGGAGGTTACTGGGAAAATGTTTGAGGAAATTATAGTTCAGCGTTCCAAACTGCTGTAGACCAGCTGAACTTATCCATGTTTGCAAAATGGTTGTTGGTGGGCACAAGACTTAGCTGAGATCCTCTCTGCTCAAATAAGCCTTTTTTTCTTATTCTCTACAGACCCCTAGTGGCCAGGTTACAGTACTGCATTCCATCAGACATGTTTCTGAAGAATCACGGGAATGGCAAAACGATCTAAATATATATATATGGATTTATCTGTCATGAATCTGTTCTCTATGTCTGTATTGATCTGTAAAATAAATTTGAGATAAATCCTACAATGTTATCTCTCTGTGCATTAGTGCTGCTTTCAGCACAAACTGCAACATAGCAACAGTATTTTTGTGACCACAACCCATTACTCTAAGTTCTTTTTTTAACTTCTGGATGAGCTGTTTGCTGCATGACATTACACATGTTTTCTATAAGTGTAGCTGAGAACAGTGAAGGGTTCCAGGCTCCTCAAAGAGAAGGCAAACCTATGCAACTTCTTACTCTCTTTTCCTTTTCCTCTCTGCCTTCTTCTCTCTAAGTAAACAGCAAATAAGACCGGTGTTGTAAATTGTCGCCCTTAAAAGTCTCCCTCTGTGCGTCTTTAAGGCTGCGTTTCTGTCCCTCTCCTAGGTGAAATCCAACATTCCCATTCTAAAATGCCAGTGCTAAATACGCTTCATGAGGCCAACATGCTGAATCGTAATTATGATTGACAATGTATGAATGTGCCAGGTCACTGGTTGCCATGGATTTGGCTAAGTCTCTCCACGGCCTTCACCATAGGTCAGTCATAGTAAATGTATGCTGTTTGTTCTGTAGCTAAGCTGTAAATCTTCTAAATCAAAATAGCAAAAACATGAAACCCAATATCATCAAATAATGTGTTTATAACAAATAATCTTTTGATATCATAAGTTATGCCTTTAACAAACTTTTGTTTAGGAATAGAGAAACATGGAGTAAAAACTTTTAATTATTTGCCATGTTATCATTTCAGTTTACTGAGGGCATTACAAACATGGGAGATAAACGTGAAAATTATCCATTTCACTTAATCACAATAAGGTGATTATTAGCAGTTTTTGTCTGTGAATAATACAAATTAATCAAAATAATCCGCAAGAAAATATGTTCATGTTCAGCTCCAAGAAAGAAGTAAAACATTAGTCCATTAACAGTTTGGGTCTTAACAAATCTTCTTAAGGATTATAACTGTTTATCTCTTTAACAGTTATTTACTGAAAGTGCGTCACTCAGCACTCAGACAGCTTGTGAACTGTGTGAAAGGGCTTTGCATTTCAAGAAGCCCTGTGTAAATAATGCCAAGTGGTCAAAGTGTTGTCCTGTAAAGGAGTCTTACATTTGCGTCACTTTCTTCATAAACTAGGGCGCATTATGTGGCTGACAAACACTGCGGATGTGTTGCTTCAATTGTACCAGGATACAACAGCGACTGCTGAGGACTCAAACCAAACCGTCCAAGTGATGACTGTTTTTTGTTAACATTTAGAAGTGTGCTATATAAATTGGTCACAAATAGGCACTTTGAATTGATTTCAAAACTACAAAAATATATCAGCAATTTACTTACTTGGTAAATAATTATAAGTACCTGAAACTTGCACTTTTCAACAACAAATGTCACAAGCGCTTCATCGTCAGGAAAAATGCTTAAAAAGCCAAATAATGGAAACAAGAAGTCATTGATACACATTCATCACAAGACAAGACCTCAAATTCCATTGTAAGTCCATTTGTTCATTTTGTTTCCTTTATTGCCATTTCCAGTCAGACTACCCTCAGTTTTTTGTTTTTTCATTCTCATATAGTATGTGCAGTGCTTAAAATAACACCTCTGCAAATGTGGCTCGACATTTGATTTTTCTTTTGGAATGTTTTGTAAGATACCAAGTGGTGACCATGTGTTCAGTTCTTCAACCAAAAAGATGTTTAAAGAAACATCACCATGGAACAGATGCCATCGGTCATTTACATCAAACTGTGACAAACTGAACAGAGTTCTAAAAACCAGGCTGCTTTTGAGGAAGGGAAACATGGCACTGTGAATCACGACTAATCTTTTGTTACTGGTGTTGGATTCCAGCTTGACTGACTTTGGTGACTGCCTCAAAGGAAATCTGAAAACCCCTACAGGTAAGATTAAGTCTGTGCAAGTTCATCAGATGCTTTTTGATATGTGAGGATATCAAATCCTTTATTAGAGGATGGCAGTTGGTCCAGGTTTTGGCCACACTGTTTCCAGCCTGACAACATGGTTTCATTTATAACTGTGATGTCATGGCTGCTGCTAACTTTCACTGCAAAGTAAGGAACTTTGTGAACTCTGTGACTGTGTAGTCTGATCTAAATCATAACTGGTTTCACATTTGTTCCCATGTGAGCCTTTTCAATGGTAGCCCAGCAGATTTTTCCTTTGTATGGATGCTTGTAACATCCCCCCCCCTCCCCTTTCCACACAGGAAGCTACCAGGTCTTTCAGTCTGCTTTCACAGAACATAAAGCCTTTTCACATGCCTTTGAAATGCATCCTGAGGTTTTTCCATCCTCTATGTTTTATTAGTGGAAAGTTACATATTGTGACCATCCACTGCCACCCAGCTGCACTGATTCAGCTCACTTACAGTAGCATACTGCAAATAAACCCTGAGTGAGAGATTTGCGGTGGCCCCCCCAAAACTGTGATTTCTACTGACTGACTGCAATGAAAGCCAAATGATGATCACACAGCTTCACATGACTGGCTAAGCATGCATTATAAACTCACGTATGTAGCAGAGCTCAGTGAGAAAGAGTGAAAGAAAAAATCATGTTTCAAAGTGTGTGGCAGAGAGACATTATTCCTGCAAAGTAGGCTGTTTGGCTCTGAAGAAGACTTTGGGGCTTTCACCTTGTCACTATTTCCAAAAACATTTCAATGTTGTTCGCATATGACCAAAGCCCAAAAAGATCAAGTAGAAGTCATTCTTTCTCCAGAGAATCACTGAGTAACATCTGTAATGCTTTAACCCCTTTTTAGATCGCCCAGGCTGACATTTCCGTTTCATGGCACGAAACACAAACAAATAAACTCAGTTTACAGGTCTTATAAGAATGTATCATGTGTTCAAAAGTGTCTTACGTTCTAATATGCCCAAAACAGTCATAAATACCTTTTTTTAATTATCTGCTAACAACTTTTTTTTTTTTTTTGCTGATTTATCACACTGAATAGATTAATGCTATATCTCTTGGAGACTTCTTTAGAAAAGCACTAATTTGTTTACTTTGTTTACTTTTAGTTTCATCACTTTTATAATGGCATCAAAGAGTAAAAGAGCATCTTTTTACCATGTTGTGTACTTAATGTTCAGAGTCAGCAGAGGTTTCTAAAAACAACTATCTGTTTCTATATTTAGATCATTCTTCAATGTAGAAAGTTGGAAGTAACATTGGTTCTTTTTCTCAGTGCTTTGTCCAGCTGTTTGGATGCATATGGTTTTTGCAGCTGGCTTTCAGGTGGGGAATGTTGTAAAAAAAAACGTAAAAGATGTTTTTAGAACATTAGGTTTGTGAAAGGTATAATAACTATTTTCAGACATCAATAATTCTCTTATGGGCTCAAAACAACTCATGGAAATAATCATAAAATAAGACAGCCCAATAGGACAAAACACAAATCCCTAACTAGAAAAAATGTAGCTTACGATGAAGGAGAGAACAAATGATACCGTACCACACAGACTGTTCACCACAAACATCACTGCATAAATTGTTTAAAGAATGCTTCAGGATTATTATGAAGACATCCTCTGTGTGGCCTGACCACATGGCAAAAAGCTCCAAACTTCAAGGCAGAGTCCAACACCCCTCTCACCACAGGAGAATAAAATGCATTCAGGAAGAAAACAAAGGCTAACTCAATACAAAAAGTGTGAAACCTCAACAGCAACCGTTGCTGTTGCAGGACCCTTGTAGACACAGACGACGAAAACCCAGAGATCAGACACACAACTGGAAACAACCTCTTAAACTCCACCAAGTTCACTATGTGTTTCTTTTTGTATCTTTTATATAAGCACCTTCTTTTCCTCCTTCACTGCCACTGCCCTTCTTAATATGACATTCTAAATGTTTCTATTCCCTCTGCAAAAGGTGAAGTATTTCACAGATACCATGAAAGTGCGTATGCAGACTTCCCACCTTGTTCCTGAGTGATAAGACACTGTGCCAAGATTTCAAACTCGAAAAAAGATGTAAAGATTTTTCAGGATGTATTGTAGGCTTTTCCAAGATCATGATAATGAGCTGTATCTTGTGAATCTCCTGAATAATCTTGATTAAAAGTTATTCAATTGTCAGTAAAAAAACTTTATTTTAGGAAAAATGAAGTGATTACCCAGAGATAAATGTCAATTATGTGAATAATGTGTACCAGACTGATCTAATCATAAACTGCTGTGAGGGGAATGGGGGAAGCAGAGCTGATGGAAAAGGGGCTGAGGGATGTAAGATGTTATATTGTTATTACTGACATTAGGAGCAGACCTCTATGTCTATATGGGTTTATATTATCTGATGACTCTCACAATTTATCTTTTCCTCTTTCTCCAGCAGCAGAATAAAGAAAGGAAAACACCAAAGTGTAAGTGGAAAAGAAGCAGAAACTAAACAAACACAGTCATCTTGTGAAGTTTTTCATTCTTCAGCTTCCTCTGGCAAAGCTGTTTGAACAGCATTCAATCAAAGTTTTGGCAGAGCTGCCCACCATTCATTTGAATCGCAAGTAAGAGAGAGCTGCTGTGAGCCTCATGTCCTTTTTTTACTAACTGGGAGAAGAGGAACGTAGTGAATGAAGAGCAAACCCACATCAACTTCTTGATGTATTCCCAGGTTAGATGAAAGTGGTTAAAGGGAGTTCAAGTTGGAACCTACATGTAAATGTTATCCAGGACACCCAGGTGATGCGGTAATAGATCATATATTTTAAGAAGTTAACTTTGTCAAACAGAAGACATTGTTTTAGCAACAGGCAACAAATACTGCATTTGGAGGGAAAAAATCTAAACATTGAACTCCTGCAGCATTTCACTCTCAAAAGAAGACACACCTTTATCAGATCTTCAGACAGCTGTTTTCAACAGGTTTTGTTACCAGTGCTTTTGTTCCTATCACAAACAGTAGTCCCTCCTTTTTTAATGGAATTTAGTTAATTCTTCACTAAAAAAACTTGATCCATATTCTTTTTATGCCATTCTTTGTTAGATTAAGAGATGATGTTCGAAACAGTTTTTGCAATGAAAATAATGGCAATTGAATTCAGTAATAAAGCCTTTTGTTTGTTTTCTAATTCTGTAGGGTAAAAAGGACTCAACAAATCAAACGGTTGAGCTCAATAATCCAAAGGAAGAGCATTTGACTTAGTAGGTAGTTATTTTCAAGATAACCACTGGAGGGTGTAAAAATGGCATAAACAATAACACACATAATGGGACCCTAACTCAGCTGTCAGTGAACAAGGTGGGATGTACAGTGGACAGGTCGCCAATCCATCATAGGGTCACACAGACATTTCGATCCTTTTCCAGACACAACACAACACAAATAGAACAGTAACTGAAAACTGTTTGAATTTGTTTTAAACTTACATTTGATAGTTTTGGTTTAAATAACTTTTTGCAACTTAGTTTTTGGGTAAAGTCTTGTGTTTATTCCACATCTAACTGCTATGATCTAGATGATTAAAATGACATTGCTTTTTCTATATATAGTACATTCAAAACAGATTCAACAGGCAGATGCTTTGCTTGAGGCTCAGGTGATAGAACAATCATCCAAAAATCCTCAGATCAACCTTGTGCATTCATAATGAAGAAAATCAGCCTGTACACCATGGAATAAATACCATTTGAAATCATTTGTGTTTGTGGATACATACAAAGCAGCCTACAGATTAAGCTATGGTTAAAAACGGCTGTGAACAAAAGTATAGCTCATCTACCATTAACAACCACCTATTTCTTTTTTTTGGATTTTAAAATCATTTTACTCAAAGCAGCAGTAAAAACTAAATATGCCGTCTATAGAGTTTAATCTGAGCCCTGAAGGCTTCACTTCACCTTTTGCATCAAACTCACAAAACATTTTCCATTTAGAGGTCCAGCCAAATCATCTCTCAAATCTTTTTTTTTTTTTTTCAAAAAAGATGCCTCACTTTCTTCGGACCAGATGTGCCAACGGCAGTATCATCCCCCTTCAGTAAAAACCACTGATGTTCTAAATTTTCCACTGTGAAGCTATTTAGGGAAGTAAAAACAATCCTACTGGGAATAAGCTGGTTTTCCACTGTGACCTCCCAGGCAGAGTCAGATAGAGGGGTCAAAGGGCCTAAAATAAGAAAACCAGCAGGGCGCATGCAAATACAATAACAGACCAGACTGCATAAAGCCTTTTACACATTCAAGAAACTTAAGAAAGAAAGAAGTTTGTGAAAGAAAATGTTCTAATCTAAAATTTACTGTTAAGGTGCAAAGACGCATAAATATAATAGAAAATGATTGATTATGACAGATCAAATGTATACATTAAGATGTATAGTGCTCTCAACTATGTTTGAATGTACCGGGTGAAGCATTCCTTGGTTATGGCACCCTCTCTGACAGGATCTTGGCATGAAATGTGAGTCTCATCTTCATCCAGCTCTCTGTGTAATCTTTTCAGCATTCCTTCCTTTTTGTCGTCATGGTGCCAGCCGTACAGCTGAGCTGTATATAAGGTCCTCCTCTTCAGAGTCTTCAGCCAGAACGACAAAGAGAGCACAACCTTCTGCTACACCACAGAGAGGAACGAAGAGAAAATCCTGAACTAAGGGACTCTGATCAACTCCAGTTTATTGAACTGAGGACAACACTTTTTAGAGTAGATATTTTTTTAATCTTCTCTTTATAAAACAAACATGGCTATAGCTATATTTGTTTTCATCATTACAGCACAGGTAAGAGAGTCACTATACAACTAATATCTTTTATGTAGTTAAAAATAGCCATTTAGACAAACATTTCTTGATCACAATTTTGCTGAAAACAACATTTTCCACACTATAGATTAAGATTCAAACTCATTGTTGTTTGTCTTATTATACTGGAAATTGAATGCCATTAAGTATATCTTTACTTTTTTCAAATTAGTCAACTTTAAAAAACAAAATCCAGGTTAGTTCTGTTTTATCCAAAGATATCAAATTTTGTTGAAGTTTGTGCTACAAAGTAATCAATTTATCCAAAACTGATTATTGCTTACTTATTCATAAAAGGGTGTCAAATGTCTCTTTCTGTCACACAGGTTTTCACACTTGGCTGGTCCCAGGTGTGCCCCCGCAGATGCCAGTGCCCCAGAGAGCCCCCCATCTGCCTCCCTGGCGTGCCCCTGATCCTGGACGACTGTGCCTGCTGCCTGGTTTGCGCAGGTCAAATAGGACAAGTCTGCTCTGAAATGAACCCCTGTGACACACGCAAAGGGCTGCAATGTGACTACTCGGTGGATATCCACAAGAGAACCGGTGTCTGTGCTGGTGAGTTTGGTTCTGTTAATGTTATTTCATACACCACCCTTTAATTTAAGAATAGGTGACAATTGTTTCTCTATTTGTAACTCCCTCTCTGTGTTTTGTCTTTTTCCTTCAGTTAACACTGGTAATGTGTGCATTTTGGACGGCTCTGTCTATCGGAATGGTCAAACCTTCTTCCCCAGCTGCAAGTACCAGTGTATGTGTCACAATGGGCAGATAGTTTGTGTGCCACGCTGCAATCTAGATGTCATGTTACCTGGGCCGGATTGTCCCACGCCACGCAAGGTTCACGTTCCAGGAGAGTGCTGCGAGAAATGGGTGTGTGAACCGCAGGCTGAGGCCAGTAGACTGGGAGGCTTTGCCATGGCAGGTGAGTGGACTTAAAGTAGCATGATACATGACACAAATCCATTCCTCGAGTAACGTCAGTGGCACTCAAAATGTAAAACAAAATTCTGAGAGGTTATGTAGATTTATCTGGCCTGGCAGGAGCCGAGAAAGTAAAGAAAGGTGGAAAACAGTGAGAAAGAAAGAAAGACTATTCAGCAGAAAAAATATATATTATTTGAAAACGTTCAACTCTGTAAGAGAAATGTGATAAATGACATAGTCAGAGTTACGCAGAGAAAATTACAGTCCTCTGTCCTTCCCTTTGTCCCTCAGCCTTTCGTCAGGAGGAAACGGTGAGCTTTAATGGCTGGGACCCCAGCTTAAACTGCATTGAGCAGACCACAGAGTGGGGGGCATGCTCTCAGACATGCGGCATGGGGGTGTCCACCAGAGTTACAAATAAAAATGACCGGTGTGAGATGGTGAAGCAGAGTCGGCTGTGTATGATCCGACCCTGTGACGACCAGCAGGAACAGCTGACACAGCTCACACCAAAGGTATGTTTCAAACAAATCTTCATGTAGATGTTTTATTTAGCGCATTTAGATTTTAGTTGCATGACAGTTCATAGGCTACTGTGCATTTCTAGTCAGCATCGCGTATTTTACTAAGCATATTACGTTCAGTGAAGACTATTGCATAATTGCAACTTTCTCTACCAGCAGAGAGGCAGCAAGTGTCAGAGAATGGTGAGGAGTGATAAAGCAGTCCATCTCTCCCATAAGAACTGCACCAGCGTTCTAGCCTACAAGCCACGCTACTGTGGCTCCTGCTCAGACGGCCGCTGCTGCACCCCTCACAGAACCAAAACTGCCCTGGTGGAGTTCCAGTGTGCCAACAGCAAAATCACCAAGAAGCCGGTCATGGTGATCCTGACCTGTGCCTGTCACAGCCACTGTCCTCGGGACAGTGCCGCGTGGCAGCCATCAGAGTTGACCTACAGTGGCATGAGAGTATAGTGTGCAGATTGCTGTATGTTTAAACACAAACTCTGAGATCCAGATCGTTGCTGTTGACTGCACATAGCTGAATCTCTACAAAATATTGGTTGTTTGAACCCAAAATTTTAGATCGACAAAGTCTAGTTCTGTACAACCAGATCCATGCCATACAGTATCAAAGCCTAAAACTTTCAACACACACACAGTAATAAGACATTTCAGTTCTGGTATTCAATACATGAAACCTCTTTTTAGTATGAAAGAATAGAGGTTGAAATATGACATTATCTCTCCTGGAGAGGGACCTTATTGAATACCATCCTGTAAACAAATAAATTGTTTTTAACAATTACAAAGTCAAATCAAAGCACTTAAATATGTGATGTATGCAGCCAACCCTCCTCTGGAGATCAGGGACGGGGTATTGCAATTCATTCACAACAGACTGTGCTTGAAAGTTGTTTGTACTGTGGGTTGTGATGTAGCATTGTGCTGGAACGATGTTACGAAGTAAAGGTGAATTGTCCGACAGACTCTCTTCAAGAGGTTAAATAGTAGGAAGGTTAACTGTCAGAGGTCCATGGTAGGTAAGTGTGAATGACAGAAAACATCCAGCCGGAACGTTTAGATCAGCCTGAGTTCTTACTCTGCAGAAACCTGCAGTGTAATTTTGCCAGTCTTTTTTAGAAAGTCTTTGACACCTTGAGCTGTAATGACACTGATAGAGAAAAAGAGCAGCCACACAGCAAGGTTAATAAACAGAAGTGATTGGCAACTTCATCAGTCACACTGCAATGACAACTCTCCCACTGGAGGACACATTTCTGAAATAAGTGAACTATGTACCTTGACATGGTCCCAAACAGGGGCTCAGCCTGTGAAAGAGAGGTCACTGTGGTGTCTTAGTGTCATTTCTAACATCTCCCTGAACTCCTGCCCTCTCAGCAGAGTACACAATCCCCCCAATTAATACATATTTTGCATGTGTTCTTTTCTTTTTTTGGTTAGACTTGGAATTATTTCCCAGCTGGTTAAAATAAGTGTTAAAAGAAGTAGTGGTATCTTATATGTATGAGTGTGTATCAAATACACAATGTTAATAATGTAAAAACAAATTGTATATTTTGATATGCGATTTATTTTTTTTCTACTTTTGAGAAGCGTCACTCAGCTTTGTATCTGAAGCTTTGTATCTTACCAATGGAACATATAAAATAAATGTGGGTTTCCAAATGTATGTTTTACTCTTTTTAACATTGCTTGATAATAAATCAAATGTCTGAATGCTGAATGGAAATTGCTGTGTGGATAGAGCAGTAGCTTGCATAAGGTGATTCAAGATGGAAACTACAAAATCTGTATAGCAGAATGAATAATGAACATGTGAACAAGAAAGGGAAAATGAAGCAGTTTCCATGACCAAACTTTGAGTGAAACTTCCATGAAGTATGAGGCTTCTATTGTTTGATGAGTAACTGATTCTTGCCTAATAAAAGTTGATCAGTCACAGATGTGATTTTTTTCTTTTATGTGAGTCATTCAACTGCATCTTAAATGTAATTCAATCCAACAGACAAGAGTTATTGAACAAGTGTTTTATTTTTATTCACGAGTTTTATTTAAGAGTTTATTATTTGGCATTTCAAAGTTCACTTCATATCTACATACATTAGAATAAAAATTCTAATCCGTGCTTTACCTTGCTCTGTAGTTTGTAAAATTGCAGTGTTTTCCTTCAACTAATTGTAGGATTCGAATGTCTCCCACATCTGGTATGGGGATAGACCTCTTCCTGGGGATACCCTTTCTGGGGATTTAGAGGATTTCCTCCTCGTGGGATCCAGGAGTTACCCATTCTACTGAACCCTGCTGATGAAGGGTGGAGACCCCATGTCATTTCTGCCTGACCCTAACCTGGAAGGTCACAGTGGAAAACCTAAATATTCCCAGTGGGGCAGCTTGTTTTGTTTTTTTATAGCTTCTCTATGGAACAAAAGTTCCCATCTTAAATGACTGGGAAGTGACTTTTTGCACACATCTGGTTATAGTTAAATATTCCATTTGACACGTTTGTACTAGTTGTGCATCTTGGATTTAAAACTTTTATATGTCACATTTCTTTACACAAGAGATATTATTTAGATTAAAGTAATTGAATAATTGAACAAAAACTAATCTATGAACAGGATGGAAGAAATCATATAAATAAACAGATCTCTCAGAGAATTATTTACTCTACTCACAGAGGTGTATATGACCAAGGGGAAGATATCGAATGATGGATTGGGATTTTCTGCCTCTACATGAAATCCACTCCATGGTTGGAGAATGAATGAATACATTGCTCCATCTAGTGGTGCCTCCATCACCAGGCTCATGGAGTTAGCAGAAAATGTAGTTGAGGTGGCACAGTTCCATTTTACATTTGGAATCTGGGCTTACCAGAGCCTGCCATTAACCTAACGTGCATGTTTTAGGATGGTGGGAGGAAGCCATCCCCGGAGATAACCCATGCATACATCAGGAGAACATGTCAACTCTACACAGGAAGGCCCCCAGTCGGGATTCAGACCACAAACCTTCTTGCCGTGAGGTGACGATCCACAGTGCAAACCCCCACATCATACATTTATTTATTTATTTTGGGTCACATCAATGAAACATTGAAAATTCATTTAAATTGTAATAGTACATTTCAATGAAAACACATATAATATTTGCTTATGAAAAATTGTGAAATCTATTGTTTATAAAGGCTTAGCATTTTGTTCAATAAAGCTCAACAGATCTTTTAACCCCTCCACCCACCTAACAACAAATAAATCAGCAAATTACACTCGCAGACTAATGGTAGAACATTGCGGCATGCATTTAATCTAAACTGATTATTTACAAATATATATCTATATTGCACCTAAACGTTATTTTAATGTCCTTTGTACAGAAAGATTATAATCATGTTAACTAAAATTACCTGGCATATATTGTATATGTGATATGGTAAAATTATCCTGTAGGCTCTGGATTTTTTTTTTTATCAAGCAGCTTGGTCTGTCATTTTTATGAGAATATTCAATGCATCCAAATCTGCTTGAACTGCTCCCTACTGTCCAACCTTTAAACTTCCAAATTACCAAATAAAAAAAACAATAGAACAATAAAACACAATAAGCACAGCGGCCAAAGCCACCTCCTCTGCCTCTGCACCCAACTTACATTCTCAAAATGGCCTGGCAAGATAAAGAAAATTGTCTCATTGAATTTGCAGCCAACAAAAGATAACATGAGGATGGCGTAACTGGCATCGAAGAAGAGCACCAGTCCATTCTCATTGGTCTGCCTATTTTGGGGAATGTACGAATATCCACAGATATGATGGTCTGGACTGGCGTACAGCTGTGGGGACTGATTAAGAGCTACCTGGTTTGCTCGTTTCCAACCTCTGGCATTCCTTCTCTTCTTCTTGCCCCATATCTGTTTGGTTTTCTGAAAAACAGCTGCCTGGTTTTCCAACTGAGCCTTTTTGTCGACATACTCTTCGTCTAAATAGACCATATGGTGATCGGTGTGTTCTGTGCACAGGTCACAAACACGAGTGTGATCATATCTGCAGAAAGACTCCAATATCCGATTGTGTTTCTTGCAGATTTTGTCCTCCAAGTTGTGCACAGGATTGGTCAGTTTGTGTGTTTTTAAAGCTTCAACCCTCAAATGAGGCTCCAGGTGTGTTTCACAAAAAGAAGTCAGACACACCAAACAGGTTTTAGAAGCTGGGAACAGGTTGCTAGGACAGCAGTCACAGGGCACCTGTCCAGGTTTTATTGACGATATGCCTGTGACTTGATGTTTCTTGAAACTTTCCACAACATCCCTGAATGCCGTGTTGATGCAAAGTTGGAGCCCTTTTTTGAACTTTTCTTTGCACAGTGGACACTGACATTGATCCTTGTTTGCCCAGTGCTGGGTGAGACAGGACTTGCAAAAGTTGTGTCCACATGGGATAGAAACCGGCTCGGTGAAGACATCCAGGCAGATCGAGCACAGGATCTGATCTTCGGACAGGAAACTGCTACATGTGGCCATATCTGAAGGACAGTGTTTAATTATAAAACGCTGGCAGCTCAGAAGGACTACTGGTAAAAGCAATACAGCAAATATATAATGTATCAATTTTAAATGAAAGATTAGACATGATTAGCATTGATTTGATTGAGCTTCATAAAGTTATCTAATTTATTATTTCAAATCAAGTTCAATAATTATAACTTAATTTGATATGATTAGAATAGTTTCACTTCACCTTCTTTGACGAGAAAGTCCTTTTCTTCTAGCCGTGAGTGGTTTGGATGTGTGTACCGTTTGGTTTCATTTTTCTGTAAATGAAACAATGCCACAAATGTGATCCGCCCATGTAATGGTTTCAATTTGTGCCATAAAATGAGCTAACACAAAAACAAATCCTGGATATTAAAAACATACGTTTTAAACTGAAAGACTGATTTTAAATGTTTTCATGTAAGTGTTTAAAAAACGCTTTTTTATCATAAAGTTAAAGCTCATTTAAAATTGGAATTTGAGAGGTTGGGCTTGTGATTATGGGCGTGGAATTAGGAGAAACAGTATAACAGAAATAGCTCAAGGGAGTCTCACCAACGCCTTGCCTTCAGGAAATCTGACAACTGCAACAGTTTATTTGGCACCTCATACACCAATTTCATTTCTAGTCTACACAAAACATGTCACTCAAAAATTTGGTTATCCAAGATGTTTGCTGTGTTACAGTGAGGAAAGGTGAAAAACTAATCAGCCTGCTCTCTAAGATGGACATTTCCAACACATACAAAGTAACACATATATACACAGAGTAGTTCTTTTTAACATGGAATCTTTTCACAACATCCCTGTTTTTTATCTGGTAGGCCTTTCAGCTTGCAAGCCTATCCGTACATCATTCTTGTTTCCAGTATTTGTGAAGAAGTAGGCATGATGTAATGAAGGTTAGAAACCTTACAGTCTGTTGAGTCAGTGCAACTAACCAATCAATAACAGCCTCATTCCAGTAAGTGATCTTACCATTTGATGCTACAAGTCACACAGTTGTAGAAGGTAAACATGGCTTCATTTCGGGTTAATTTATGTCAAATGAAGAAATATGATCACCACAAAATAAAATGTCCACCTTGCTGGGGTTTAGTGTGGATTTGGGATTTGTTTATGTGCTGTGGTGTTAGTGGGGAATGACAAGGAGGGATTTGCACTGAGGAGGAATAGTTATATTATATTCTTATTTAAACATGGTGAGTAAGCCCAGAAGTAATCAAAATTAGTTTCCCCTTTAAAAGACCACACGATAAAAATAAATAAATAAAAAATCAGAGGGTAACTTTGGAGAGACAGACAACACTGTAGGAGCCCGAAGGTACTACCACAACTGACCACTAGTGGTTTCACAGCAGTCCTCACATCACACCTTGAAGCTTCTATCCTAACTCAAATTCCTAAATTATCTTACAACACTGTGAAAGAACCTCAGCATAGGTGCTTTGCCTCCCACCAGTCAGCACTCTACATCTGAAAGAAAGAGGAATAAGATGAAACAGTCTTTTTAAAAGAACAAACCTACTAAAAGCCCAGGAAGCATATTGAAAGCAAACCAAAATATAAATAACATAGTTGGGTGAACAGATTGTTAAACTACCAAAGCAAAAATGCACCAAAAATAGCGATTAAGCAAAAGTCGCTGTAAATAAACAATATAATTTAATAAAGAAGGGTAACTTTATAGACAGCAAACAAATGCAAAACATTTCAAACCTGAAAATAAACAGGGTAACCAAAACAAGACAAAACAGTTAGTCAAAAATGAGCAAAAGCTTACCTCCTGAAAACCTCTAACCAGCATATAGGAGGTGCAAAGTCAGGTTCCAGGAGCTTCAAATGCCAAAAATGTTCAAAAGAGAGCAGAGGATGCACAGTTAACTGAGAACGCTTTCCTTGCAAGAAACCAGGAAGTCACAGCAGGGGCAGGACAGCAAGTGAGGTAGAGATGTGAGCACAACATATGTTGCCCTTGCTTGTAAAAGAAGCATCTGGTGCCCTCTAAAGGCCAAATGTGTGTGCAGGGAAATATTTTATACGTGGCTCGCAGTTTAATTTGTGCCTTGTGAGAAGACCTGTGCCTGTGTAGAGGCAGAACAGACAGATGCAGCTTCATAGGGTTAACCTGACTGTTGTTTGGCCAGAGAAGTGTCTACAAAAGAAAGTAAGGAAGCCTGGAAGCGTGCAAACATGGAAGTAAATTATACAGAAAATCATTTCCTTTCTCTCTTTTTTTGTTTTATTGAAAAAGTTCCACAGGGAACTATTGTATATTAGAAAAAAATATTAAACTGGTGCAGCATATGGAAATGAGTCTTTGCAAATTGTGTTTGACAAGCAGCCAGTCTAATAATTAGCAAACGTATATGTTTGTTCTTTGTGTTCGAGATGCTCATCTCAGGTATAAACTAATGAATGAGAAGTGAGATGAAGAATAAATTATTTCAAAGAATGAAGCTTGGAGCAACTAAGGAAGGCAGCATAAAATGCAGAGAGAGATAATGAGGAGCAGAGGAGAGCCTATACAATGAAGATGAAAAACTGAAAAACCAGGAGAGGAAACAAAGTTTTCAGCTCTGAGCAAAGTTGAGTCAAAATACTTACTAATCAACCAGCCTAAAAACACGACTCAGTGGTTCCCCTACAAAACATGTCAAAATGCTCTTCAGATAGATATCAGCTCCCCACCTTTCCAATAGGACAGTGGTGTGTTGGGAATGTCTGCACCTCTGCAACTGCTCTTTGTTGCAATGAAATCTAAATGTGTGATCTACATGCCGAGCTGACTTCATATTAAAAACAAAGACTCATTAACAACCTTTAAATACCACCGGCATCGTGTTTGTTTGTTTCGAAGGTCATTACGTCGGTGAATGCAGGTTTCAATTTACAGCTCATTTCCACATAAAAGTAAAAATGATTTGTGGCTCCAACACCTCATTAAACCAAAACATTTCTGTTGCACTCTCTCTTCTCTGAATAAGTACGTTAATCTGCTCTTTGGCGCAGCTCTGTCTTAATGATCAGATGTAGTTCATGGGGTGGGACTGTAATGAAGCTTGGCTCCAGCACGCAAACAGCATTCCTGTGCCACGTTTCCACCAATATTACACTGTCATTAATTATGATACGCACTGGATAGAAATCTATTATTTTACAAAGGAAATAAGAGCATTCTTGATCAAATATTGTGTAAATGGAATGAAAATGAGCCCATGTCAACTAAAAAAGCAATTTCACTGTGCAGTGACTAAAATAAATTTCAAGTATTAGCAGAAGTCACTGTTGTGTCTTGAATCAGATAGCAGAGAGTTTTACACTTCATTTGTATATTCTTTTGTATAATATTTGCTTTGCCAATGAGGAAACAAAAGATTTAAAATACATTGATGAAAAGAAGAGCATGTAGGTGGAGATTTTCAGTTATCCAGGTCATATCAATCCTTGGAGATTAGGTAAAGGCTGCTCCAGCTCAGAACTGAGCAATCCTTTTGCATGAGAGTGGAAACGACTTCAACAACCAATAAGTCCAAATGCTCAAGTTCTGAGGATAACTGACAACCATCTAATTCTATATTTTAACTTTTAAAGATAACATGAAAATTATGGGCAGTTTATTATAACTCAATTCCTGTTTAGTCTGAATAATTCTCATTTTTATCTATTCACTAAAGGCTTTTCTTGGGATGCATTTTAAGTACTCCTAGTTCCACGGAGATGAACGTTTTAGAGAAATCAGCCGTAGGTGTCGCTGTCACATTGCTGAAAGATCAGTGGGGTTGACGAAAGTTTCCATCATCTGTTAGTCACTGAGTGAAGTTCGAAGAGCTTCAGTGGCAGTAAGTGGAGGTGGGAAATATATATTTTTTTAATCCTTTCGTCTAAAGAGTTTATGTGATTTTCCTAACTCGTATTATGTTTGCAACAGCTTAAACTATTCTCATTATAGTGAGATCGTTCTCCCACGCTGTTTATTTCCATCTTTCTGCTGCCTTCTTGTCACTCAGTGATGATTCTCAAAGCGCGTTGGGCCGCTTGGGAAAATAATAACAGATAGAAAGCAAATCATTCTCTGGCAGAGCTGCCTGACGAAACGTGGCCAACTTTTTCTATTTCAGTCGAATTCACCCCAAAAAACAGCAGATGTACATCCATGTACGCGCGTAAACGAATCCATTTGAGTCACGTGAACGCTGCTTTGCGCAGTGGTTTTAAACTCACTAGACACAAGAAGAGTGAAATTGAACCTATGTCCTGAAAGCTGCGCTCGTCTCGCCTTAAGGGGTGTCAGCTTCACTCAGTTCGACGTAACACCTCCACTCCAGTTTCATTTGGCCAAATTGCGCACACGAGAAAAAAAGGGGTTTAAATCACAAACAGTCTAATTTCTAAATTACACCAAATCAGTTGCGTTTTTTATTGCCGTGTAATCAGTTATATGTCATATGGCACGATATATTAAAGTGATGTGAGTGACTGAGCTGATGGATTTATGTGGAAAAGCAGTAGGTGCGTGTGGACAACATTTACGCTGAATCAGACACAAGGATCAGATGCACTTTTTAAATGATTTACAGTATAATCTGAAAGGAGGAATGGGGTGGGAGTAGGGGGTACTCCACCCAAGTGATAGGATCTCTGGGCGGGCGCAGCGGAGGGCAGCCTATGCTGAGCGGGATCCGGGCGGCCGCACGGGACACTGAAAAACTTCATACGGGCAAAGTCCAGCAAGAGCTCAGAGGAGGCAGGGTGTCGGTGAGTGTGTAACGGCGTGCTGGGAACTTAATCACATGTGATTTTACAGAAATGCTCCAAAGATGGCGATGGTAGCAGCGGCGAGAGCCCCGAGTGGCTCTGAGGTCCAAAAAAGTGGATTTGTGGAGATTCTGGTGCGCGAGCGGTGGCACAAAGTTTTGGTCGACTTGAGGGAGGAAGCGCTCACGCTGAGCTGTGAAGTGGGCAGCGTTAACGACAACGTCAACTCCAACGGGATTACCGATGGATCTTACCTTGACAACAGTAACGCCAACTCCAACAATGGCCCCCAAGCCGCGCGCACTGCGTTCACTGACCTCCCGGAGCGAGTGCCCGAGGCGATCGCCAACAGAAAGCGGTGCGTCAAGGTGACCAAGCAGGAAATCGGGGGACTCGGAGTGAGCATCAAAGGGGGAAAGGAGAATAAAATGCCCATCCTCATAAGTAAGATATTCAAGGGGCTCGCAGCGGATGAGACCCAGGCTCTGTATGTCGGGGACGCGATCCTGTCCGTGAACGGTTTGAACCTGCGGGACGCGACGCACGACGAAGCCGTGCAGGCTCTGAAAAGAGCCGGGAAGGAGGTGACCCTTGAAGGTAGGTAAAGTGCACATCTGCGGGAGATGGTGTGAGAGAGGCTCACAGAAACCAGGTGAATCGTGCGGTGGAAGAGCGTATAGGACCAAGACAGCCCCCGAGTTTATCGTCCCAAATGCCTATACTCCACGGTGGTTCAATCTTGTGTTTTCGGGACTCCTGTGAACATTTGCTTCATTTGAGCGTTGTTGACCCAACTCGGTGTCCCCAAGTTAGCCTAGGTCCATATGAGCACCACAGGCTTTATTTAGGAGACATGCAATGCAGGATTGAGGGCATTTTTCTCCACAGGCTGATGTTGTGTTGTTTGGGGTATCTTTTTCAAGATTTCTGTAATTGTGCGCAAAAAATTCTGCAGTTTTTCCTTTACCAGCGTGATGATGGCTGCATATACCGTTCCTGGTATAAATCTCTCCACGATCATGAAAAAGAAGCGGGGTTTTCAGTCTTAAGATCTGCGAATGAAATTCAGGTGTTTATGTGTCACCTGCAGAGAGGAGCACTGGTTAATACATTTTTATCTGTCTTCCTTTTGCTGTTTAAGGTGTTGATGTGCCATTTGGTCTGTGCTAGTGTGTGAATTAGTCTCTGGTTGGTTTGGAAACAGGTCGCAGTTGAGATTTCAGGACGCAGTTATGCAACAGAATGTGCCAAGGGAGACTCATGCAAGATCAAACTTGCTTAATTTTCCCACTCTTATTTTTGTATCAGGACCTCCTTGGACTCTGGAGAGGCCAAACATTTCTGTTACTGGGCTACCATGTGTAAAGTTTTCAAGTTGTTTTTGCATTGAAGGGGTTATCATAATTTACCCCACTTAACACTCAAGTGCAAAAGCAGCCATCAATCATTCCAGGCTAGTGTCCACTTCTGGATTTTTTGAGGAATCAAAGCAGTAAGAAAAAGGCAAATTTCTCAAACACACCAGCACACACATAATTTCCTTAAAATTCACATGAGCACGATGGCGATCCTGCCTGTGGGGGGACACAGGCTGCACTGCAGAGGGAGAAAGGGTCCCAGTGGAGAAATTACCGAGATGTAAAAGAGAGGGAGACATAAAAGAGCAGAAGAGGAGTGAAGAATGCAAGGGATATTGGATAAAATATGAATTTATTAGTGAAAGTGCAGAGAGAGGGAGTAAGATGTATGGACTGAAAAGAAGAGCAAATGAGGAAAGCAAAGACGACGAAGATGAGAGAAGTGTGAGGGTTAAAATGAAGATAACTGAAAATGGGGTTTTCACAATGTAAGTCAACAGAGATCATTTGTGTTTGGGAATGCTCCAAAAAATAAAGGGATTATTTAATGTGCCTTGTGTCAGCATGTTCACATTAGTTTGATGAGTATGATGAGTATCCTGATATGCAAACTCAGAAAACGAGTGACAGTTTCTTTCTACTTAGGAGATTGAGAAAAGCAAATTGTGTCACACGAGTAAGGTGATAGCAGTGAAACATCTGATACATTTGTTAGGAGAAAGTAAAGTACCTGTCTTTGTAAGTCCCTGAAAGAAAATATGCATGGCATGCAGTCTGTATGTTTTTTTTTTAAGCACTGGCAAATATTTTGTGAAGCTGTGTTAAAAAAAAAAAGTGTGATGGGGATTGCACTGATATGAGGGAGGCAGAAGTTTGACCTCGTGTTTTAAATTTACACTTCAGCCTGTGAAACAGGGTTCAAACCCTGATGGTAGAGTCCCGCCTCTTTGATCAAATGTTCCCAGAGTAAGACTCTGCTCTCTGCTGGCTCTGCCATTCTCAGCATGTGGGCAAATAAGTCAAAGGGAAAGTGTTTCTGGAGAGCCACTTCTGCAGCAATGTCTCTAAACTGTCAACAGCCATGGCCAGTGGGGTGGTTGTGGATATGCAAATGATAAGAAGCATGCAGTATTTGTACTAATGAAAAGATGCTGAATAATACGGATACGATTTGGAGAATATTGCCAGTTTAGGCCCAGTGCTGCCTGGATTCTTTACAACAATTTGATATTTGCCTCATGTATCACTTGCTAATGGGGTGTAGCTCAGCCTCATCATGTTGTGTTGAAGTGACTGCAAACAACAAGTTGTACAGGCTGTGGCTTGAGCCCCTTCTGTGACATTTTGACATATCACCATGAGCTTGAAGAATACCAGAGCCTCAATTTGAAGGAGAATTCATCCTTTTTAAAAATGATTTTCTCCTGTCCTTTTGCCATTGTGCCATGTCAAAATGTCTTTTCTATGACAAAGGCTCACTAACAGGTGAGAGTAGAAGATTTGGACATATAGATGGGAGTGTGATAAATGCTTGGAAAAAAGCTGAGACTGACAGTTTTCTCAAACAGTTAGGGTTTTCAACATGGATAGGAAAACATTTTATAAAGCATATTGTTTTTGGTGGACCCTCTTTGTGTTCTTGAATAATTCTATGCTGCTTTCCATATGTAAACACTTCCTGTCCTTATGTTGGGCCAATTTAGTTGATCCTCAATAAGACCCAACAGCTTAAGTGAGGAAGATTTATAATGTTTATGCTTGTTTGGTGTAGTCAAATCCAGTTGCCAGTGAAAAAAATAGATTCTAAGGGCAAGGAAATATATAATCTCAAAATATTTTTTACCTGTGTGACCTGTCTATTAAACAGAGTTGGTCATCAAAATGTGCATTTATCTGAAGAAACAATTCTCAGCCAACACCTATATGCACAAAAACAAGTTCCACAATGGCTCGTAACTGTGGACCATTGCCTTCTAATCAGTGCAATGTGCGTACAGCTTTACTGACATCACTGACGGATGATCTCATTACAGCTGTCTGCTACTGTAAGAGATATTTCAAATTCCTGCCACTCACAACATGGTTGTAAGAAAAGGGAAACATTTCATAATCCAAGATAACTCCAACTAGTGTGAGGGGCAGTTTCTGGGGAGTATTGTATGTGACTTCTGCATCAGACAATTGTCTCTATAATGTCTGTTTGTCTGTTGTATAGAAAGTCCAAGTTGCAACACTTTTATGCAACATTTCTTGCATGCAACATACTACTTGAAACTAACTATTTGAACCCTCTTCATGTGACTCTCTGCTGCAGAACTAACTTAGTGTTAAAATTCACAATGGAAATTTAGCTCTAGTTGATCTGATAGTTTTTAGGTCTGATTTGTTTTACATGGTGGAAAAAAAAGAACCCATCCTGTAGCCCCAATTAAGCAACTTTTAGATGAGATACTTTGTCAGGAAAGGAGTACCGTTGCTTCTGTCTACTACAGGCAAGACACTGACTTCTCATGAATACTTTACAAAACCCTACTTCAAAGAAACTGAAATATCCCTTTAAGGTGCAAAGCAGGTTCGCCAAAGATGACAAAGAAAATTCTCTTTCTGCAACAACAGCCACTTCATCCTGAAAGTTGGCCCACTAACCTGATGCTCCATTGGCTTTTGTCTGATACCGGCTACACGGATGGACCTCATTAACACATTTTTACGACTCGGTTTCTTGATATAAACGGAGAGTAATTGTAATATGCTGGGTAAACATGTTTAAAAAATGTTCATTGGCGAGATAAGCACTGCCACATTTTTCTCATGGGTCCAGCTGTCATGACAAGTTAAATTAATCTGGTGCAAGTTCCAATGTTAAACCACGGACATAAAGATGGCACAGTTCAAACCAGAAACTTTGGATACTGGATACTTAGGATTGAAATATTTTAGAGGATTTTTTTTCCTTTGTAAAAAGCCATCTATGATTTTTGGGACAAGACATAATCTTTTATCTGATCTATGTTTTTATTGTTGCTACTGGATGAATGAATGAAGGCAAACTGGAGGAGAGAGAGAGGAATTTTTCAAACATTTATCAGGCATTTGGAGGTTGGAGAGGTTTTCCAGTGAGCAGCACACATGTCCGCATAGCTTCAGTTTAGCTCCTGCTCAAACCACAGGGGTGAAGTTTAACTTGAATTTTTGATGTGGAATGCCATTTGTGGTTTTTGTTGCTGATTCTTTGCACTTTCTGTCCCTGTTAGTGGGTTTACAAATTAACAACAGCTTGTTAAAGATTAGAGAAACATACGTAAATGCTTACGTAATAACTTACCGCATCAAAGTTCCCTTTTCCTGGATTACTGGGTAAAAACCACACACCCTGCACCCTATTTGGGGACAATAGCCAGACATCCTACTGGAATACAATAGATTGAAAGATGTGCTACATGACATGAATGAATACAGATGTTTATCACCCGTGAGACTGTGTGTGGGGAAACAATATGACACACAGGTCATGGTGATATTTGACAGACATTAAATACACCAGCTACCCATATCAGAGCAGGTATAGTAACAATATCCACATCAAGGAATTTGAGTAGGAGGTGGTAAAACTGCCTCACTCTCTCTGAAACACTGTGTCACAATGCATTGCATCAACATTCCGAGAAAACAAACTCATTTATGTAAAGCAATCATTGTAATCAGGGACAGCAGTGAGCCCATAATGCAGCACACCACACTGCACTACGGACAGCGCCCCTGTAAATGATGTTGAGTGGGAGCCTGTTTTGGTGGAAAGGGTGATTAACCATGTAAGAATGTCCCTTGTTTATTTCTTCATGATCATTTAAATAGCCTCAAATCTTCCCTAAAACTTTATATTTGCAGTAGGGAAATGATAACTGTGAGTCTGTTACATATGGTTACAGAGAGTGTCCCCTTTCTCTTTTTCCTATGTTCTCTTACTGTCTGATTGGATAATAGCACCAAACACCTAGTGCTTTTATTTAAGAAAATGATGATTTTTTTTTAAATGGAGCATTTCACATTCAAAAGTAAAGAATGATTCAGCTCTGTTCCATGCTTTTAGAACATTACATGTAAAACTTAGCAGACAGATAAGCCCCTTTTATGCTCGTCTAAATATTTTTCTTTTTATTTCACTTCATGTTTTTGATAGAATATTTATCCACGCTGACATTTAAAGTCCAACCGAAAACCTCCTTTGCCATTCCAATT